GTATTATAAATGCGAAAGTAACTATGTCTGTCTGTCTCGCTTTCACGCCAAAACTACTAAACTGATTTAAATGAAATTTTGTACACTTTTAATCTAGACCCTGAGAAAGGACGTAGGCTACTTTTTAACGCCATAAAAGGGTTGAAAGGGGAGATGAAAGATTGTATGGAAGTATCGTCATTTTTAAAGCTAAAAGCTTGAAAATTAATTTTTTAGTAAATTTATAATAACGAAATAATATTAAATATTATGTCTTTATTTGGTCAACGTCACTATTCCACGCGGATGAAGTTGCATGCACATATAGAAAAGTAAATATAACTTTAGAATTAATTTCTAACACGTATAACAAATTCCTGCTGACTTGACCATTAACACGAGCAGACTGGAATTATTCTATAAACCACGTTTATAGTCTCTGGATCATTTCGGTCACCTCCCTCCCTATTAAGTAAATTAACCCCTAATACGGGGCCATAAATCTGTCTCTATACTCGTATGCACTCTAAATAATAAGGGTTCTTGACCGTGTGATAATAATGTGAGCCAATAGACTGAAGTAGGGAATTGCCCAATGATAATAATATTTGATTTGCTTTTAATATTAATTACTTATTTGGTTTAGCACACCGCTTTCCTTACGACAGTCGCGGGTTTAATTCCTTGTACGGTACAAACATTTGTATTGGTCTGGGTGTTATCTATGTATATTATGTATGTAGTTACATAAAAATATATCTAAGTATATCATTCAGTTGTTCAGTATCCATAAAAAAGCTCTGCTTAGTTTAGGATTAGATGGCGATGTGTGAATTGTTCTGGAAAATTATTATATTATTATAATTAATATTTCTGAATAATGAAAAAATGCTCTAGATGTAACCCATTGGTCATAGAACATGTTAAATAGTAATAAAATGCAAACATCTAACTTTATCAGTCCACACTACATATATCATAGTCATTATACATAGGTGGTAGTTATCGAAAAGCTTTTCATAATTCGATGAAAATCTATTTAGAATCAAAGTTCAGTCAACAACGGTTTGTCACGTGACATTGTCTCGTTCCTTATCGAGTCACATTTCAGACTGACGTTGACAAATTATATTACCCGCATAGTAATCTTGTTACATGCAAAGCGTAAATGGCTTTAATGAACTCCAAGTAAAATTCGTAAATTCCCCGGGAGTACCTCAAGGCACGCTTCTGGGACCACGCCGGTTTGTTGCAAACGTTGCCAAAGCAACAAGTTTAATCGATACAAGTATTTCATATATTTTACGAGTATTCTACAGTTGATACATTTAGTAAAGTACAGGTTAAGCGTTCTAACTTTTTGGTGTTTGATATCAAGTTAATTTTCTTGTTACCTTTGATTAAATTGCCATCACTTTACAATATTAATTCGACAAAAAAGTATTGATTTAATAATTCAACGCTTACGGTACATGAAAGCGAAAGAGTTAAGCCTTCGCTAATAATTCAGGATGGGGTTGGCAAAGTTGAAAGCTAAACATGTGCCGGTTTACTTCGGACATCCGGTCCGGTTTTGGCGGGTGAGTCTTAATAATATCAGCGTTAAGTAAGGCATGTGGTTTCCCTTTGTGCCCGGTTTGCATTCATAAGCATTTATTATGTATTTAGACTGCCTTCGTCGTCCAGTCGTCTAGCGGTTTAGCACACCGCTTTACTTCCGTTGGTTGTGGCTTCGATTCCTCGCACAGTGCATACATTTGTATTCGTGTGTATAATTGTTTGCATTGATCTGGCTGTTTTCTATGTATATAATGTATGTATTTACAAAAATAAATAAGAGTTGTCTAGTATCAAGTTGTCTAATATCATAACTCAAGGTCTGTGTAGCTACGAAGTAGATAATGTGCGAATTGTCCAGGATTATTATTATTATGTTTGATACTAGTCTAGCCCACTACTTTGTACGTATGTATTTGTAAATGTTAATTATTGATAATAATAATTTTTACGTGAAACATCAAAATGGCTTCTATACGACTTTTTTTTATTACCTCTATTACTTTATTCATAAATTCATTATTAAAAAGTAGAATATTCTTAATATATAATATATTCTTAATTATAATTATTTCACATAGGTGTCAAATACCAATTATCAGTAAATAATTACTTTACAATATATTCTGTGAAAATCTGATCCCAATTTCTCCAGCCGTTATCAATAGTTTTAATTTCGTCTATCTATGTATATCTATTATCTATGTATTAAAAAATCTTGATATTAATATAGGAATTGAATTAACATGGTATAAGTCCTGATGTCGGAAACATCAGGAAAATCTTCATAGAAATCTAAATTGCGATAAAAGACCTATTTCGCATTTATTCAAATGGGACCTTTCGGCCTTTTATCAGATACGTCATATATTTATCAGACAGCTTTCCGATAAAAATGTTATGACTATTCAAAAGTGCTTAAATTAAGTTTATTTGAATAAATTAATTTCTATTATATTCTATCACTATCTAACCTTACCGTTCAGTTCGAATATGTATTCAGGCAGGCAGACAGGGTGAAAATGAAATGATAATACGTCTTATTTAGTAGTTATTCAAATAGGATATGTCGGCCTTTTGAAAATGAATATTCATCATCATTACGACACAAATCATTTCATATTCAGCCTGTTTTAGCAAAAATATTGCATAATATAAAATAAGGTTGTACATAATAATTATCTTCTTCTGATAGACCGTTAAATTATTTTTAATGGTCTATATATTTTATAAGTAATATACTAAATGACTGATATCTCAGAAGGGGTAGTCATTGTCGAACACAATACATAACATGTCCACCTGTCGCTCCATTGTAAGTATCTAGGGGATGGCGTAGATTGTATAATATTTCTTCAAAGTAATTAATTAGGAGCTCTTACATGTGTATATATGTGAGGAAACCTTAAGTTACCTTCTTTCATCTTGTGCCTACACTTGTAATATTTCTGTCAACACTTGAGACCCTTCCATTAGTTTACATTAAATAGGTTTAGGTAAATTCAGTCTACGTCCCGATTCCGCGTCGAATAAAACGCATTACTAATAAGCCATATAGCACACTCTCAACTAAACTTACTAATGTAGAATAAATAGTACAATTATTTCACCAGTTTACTCAATACCTAGACTAGACAATAAACAATATTTTATGTAGCGACACCTCATCACATCATATATAACGCTACAGTGGTGAGGTGATAACCAACCTAATAAGGGATTTGATGTCAGTACAGCCATAAAGACCATATAAATAAACACTACACACCTCGTATTCGAATAGTCATTTAATATTTATTACTCTATTTCCTCCCTTTGATCTGATACTGTGATATGATGACTTTGTATTAACTGTCTCCAAGTTTTTATTAACGTTTGACACGATATCTTTAATAGAACTTTATCAAATGTCTTATCTGTGGTACTAGGTACCTATTATATCAACGAGCAATATGTATTTATAAGTTTAATTTCATACGTTGATTTGTTATCAAAAAAACTTAGGAATAAATTCATTTGAACTGAATTCTTCCATTCTGAATGAGTGATAGAATCAAAATAATATGACTATTTAAAAGTGCTTATATTAAGTTTATTTAAATAGAGATTATTTATATTTTTAATCATATATATTTAAAAATATGACAATACTTAGAGCTTTCAAATTTTTCTAAATTGAAAGAGACCCTCCTGTACTAAAACCTTCTACAAAATCAAGTTAACTATAATAAAAGTTTGACCACTTTCTAATTAAAACATAGCTAATCGATAAAAAGATCAATACAAACTATATTCTTTTTAAAATTTATTATACTTTTATAACAATTTTAAGGTGTGGAATGTGCAATTAAATAATCTTACTAATATTATAAACACGAAAGTTTGTGAATATTGATGGATAGATGGATGTTTGTTAAACTAATTTTGATCTTTCTTATACATGAGAATAACATGTCAACAATATACATGACCATACATTTCATGCGAGTGAAACCACGGGCACAGCTAGTAGGTGTATAAATGCGATAAGTTCTCCCTCCACCAAACTGAGTTCAGCGAAATGTGGTATGCCCATATTGAAGTTGAAAATAACTCTCACCCCATCTAGTGAAACAGCAGTGATGGTATATCATTCTGTAAATATTTTCAGGAGCGCCAAAGACGTGAAATGGAGGCAACAGTCAATATTGAAGAACAGAAAACGTTAACCGACTGCGTGGACTATGATGCACTACATTTGCAAAAGTGAGTATAAACAACACTAGTTTGCTAATAAGCAGACTTTATTGTATATGGGAGGGGTTTGTTTGTAAAGTGAACTAATAGTCCCACTACTAATGTACCATATCAACATCGACGTTCCCCTTTGAGATCCATACATTCATTGTCATTCCAATTACATAAAAAATCAGCACTACGGACATCACGTTATCGTGTAACGCCGGTAATACCATTCATCATCGTTGCCATATTCTTATGCTATACTTTCACTGCCTTATCTCGCAATCATCCAACAGTCTTATCCTTCAACTAGAACACAGCTTCCATTTTAATTTGTTCAGCATCTTTATAAGTATAACCTTTTACAATGTCTACATCGGTAACTACCTGTTAGAGAATGGAGAACTGTCTGTAATAAGGAAAAGAGGAAGAAAACAAAATCATAAACTATCAAAGATTCAGGATCCAGGTTATTCAAATGCATCCTTCCAGTATAGCTTACCATCAAACGGACCACAGTTCCTTTTATATTTTTGTGAATACTCTTAGCTTTATGTAATGATGATGATGATGATGATACTTATAAAAGTTTACTTACTGTATCTAGACTTATTATCAATAAAACAGAAGAAAAAGTTAGAGAAAAGTTCCAAGAAGAAGACAGTAAACTATGACAAAGGAGATTACGACTGAAAACACTACTAGACAGTGAAGAAGAACAGTTCATTCAAGAACTGGTAACGAAACAAGAAATGGAGGGATGTGGCCCGTGCAAAGACAGAGAAACTAAAATACAAAAATATGAAAGTGCAATAGAAGAGGAGAAAATTACAGAATGTCAAAAAGCCGTTGAAAGAGAAACAATGTAAGTGATTCACTATATTCAAAACTAGATTTAATCATCATATATTTTTTGTGGTGTGATAGTATGTTTTGATTAGTCAAGGTCGATAATACCTTGGTAGAGAGAAAAGATTCCATAAATAATAACGTATAGATCTGTACCATACCTTCAATATTGGAAATATCAATACTCGATATGTTGAACGACCGCTATTAACCATACATACTGTACTTACATCAAATAATGTAGATAATTTAAATAAAGACATAATAGAAATACTGTCCCTAAATAGCATAAATATATTTTATCAAATCAGATGTTAATTTGCTGTAATCTATTCCATTACATACTTAGTTGATTTATATTATTTTGGTTAATTACCGCAACCAAAGCACGTGTGAGACCACAAATATTCTTAGCTTATATTAAAATCCATAATAATTAAAGGTACCGGAATTAAACAATATTATACAGTCTTTCAGAAATAACATAAATATATTTAAATTTGAACCATACCAGAAATCACTCCGAACTATTTTTATTATTAATTTTTATGTTTATGTTGGTGCACACTTTTATTAAATCCTAATGTTCCTGTAGAGCAAAAGGTATGCAATGCAAAAAAGAAGATGAACTATGTCTCAGAGCCATGCAAAGGATACAAATGCAAGAAAGGAAATACTTAGAAGAAGAAGAAAAAGAGAGGGAAAGGATGTGGCACAATATACTACTAGATGACGTCAAGAGAAAGGTTGAGAATTCACTTAAATTTACCTATTCAAATTTAAATGAAATATGAGCTTATTATAATAATTACTAATTCATACGATTTCTATTACTAATTCAATCCGACAGCCTCGGGGGTCTAGTGGTTTAGCACACCGCTTTACTATCCGATGGTCGTGGTTTCGATTCCTCGCACGGTACAAACATTTTGTATTCATGAGTATGATTGTTTGTATCGGTCTGGGTGTTTTCTATGTATAATATGTATTTATTTACAAAAAAAATATATCCATGTATTTATATCAGTTGTTTAGTATCCATAACACAAGCTATTTACTTGGGACTAGATGATGTTGTGTGAATTTTCCATGAGATATTATTATTATTATTATAGATAAAGCATTTACAGATTCAAATTCTTTAATCAATTTTCCATGAAAATTAGTTGGATAGGTTATTATAATACACAGAAGATTAACTGTATTGTAAAGAAATATAGGTATAGTTAATCTTTATACAGGTGTATATATTCACAGGAAGAACAAGAAAGAATAAAAAGGCAAAGAATAAAAGAAGAGATACTTGAACGTCGTATGGCATATGACGAGCAGATAGCTAGTGCTAACAGAAAAAGACAAGAACTATTAAAAGAAGAAAGGGAAAAAGAGAATAGGAAACTTGATAGGATGAAAAAGAAAATGGAACAAGATCACTATGATGGTAATACATCACAAAATGTTAAATACAATTTAACTGAAGACTTTTCGTTCACTAATATTTACATTTAACTCTAACTCTTGTTCATCTTTAGTTAATTAAGATGCTAACTAGTTAACTGATTTTTTATGTAAATGCATGTGTATATGTTACAGCTATAAAGCGTAAGAAACAACAGCAATTAGTTAATAAGCAAAACTTTATAGAAGGTCACAATGATAAACTCTCGAGATTAAAACAAGAAAAGATGCAGGAAAGACAATTAGACAATAATAGTATAAGAATAGCTTTAGAAGAATTACAGAGAGAAAGACAGAAGAAGATTGATGAAATGGTAAGCAAATCTTGAATGAATGTACTGAATGTTGGTACTTGTTTTAATATTTATTTCCTATAATTAAGGATGCTTTAAACGCATGCAGTAAGAATTCGGCACCGCACCTCGGTTTACCTCCAAGGAGGTAGTCAGAGACATTGTCAACTGTCGATGTTGTGGTGAACCCTTAAAACTGTTAACACTTAAAACAAAAAAAAACAAGCACTGAATAATAAAATATTTAAGACAAACTATATATTTTAAATAAATAGTTTCTAAGTTTTAATTTTTTCTTCTTTAACTTTAGCATAACTTACAAAAGGAGAAACAAATTTTCACGGCAAGCATCAACCAAGAAAGAAGAATAGCATATGAATTAGAACAAGAAGTCGATAAAGTAACATCGGAATGGAAACAAACTGAAGAAAACAAATTAGACGCATATCTAAAGAATGTGGAATATGAAAAATTAATAGAAAAACAGGTAAAATGTTAGTTATACCCGACATACATCATACATAATACGTACAAATTACAGTTTCCCACATGAAATGTACGAAATAATCAACTTAACCACAATTTGCTAAACATATATACAATTTCAATATATATATAACAACAAATATACAATTTCAAATTCACATGTTCCGGATTCATAGATTATAATTAGATGTAAATTGAAATAGCTGAGACCAGGGTTCTAGGAGTTCGAAGTGTACGCCATCGAAGACTTCAAATTCTGAGATCCCTATATTTTTTCTAACAATAAGTTTTAAAAATGCTAACATATTCTTTATATCTTAACATGTCTTGACAAAGAGTTTTATATCTCTTATTTATCAGTAATGTTATCCTGCATACAAACTTTCATCTAATCCTAATCTTTTTGAAGTTTTATTTTTACAGCAATATTAGCCTTTCTTCTATAATCTGATATAATGGTCCATAAACCAGAAATTATAAAAATTTGTTGAGTAGTTTAGGTATAAAAATTTAACAATCAAATCGTGTTATTTTAGTATAGTTGCCAACCGTCCTGTTTTCACAGGATATGTCCTAGTTTTTAACGTCCTGGGACTTCCTGAATAGCTTTTAAACAGCTTCCGGGGTTTTGGAACTTTAATATTTCCCCTCTTTTTTTAATAATTTGTTTTCAACACGTATAAGTTTTTAAAAAAAATTATATATAAAATGATGATATGATTATTTTATTTACTAGAATTTCATTTCACCTATTTTAACTACATATTAATTTAACTAATGCAACCCGACTACTGCGTCCTGTTTTTAAACTGAATTGTCCTGATTCTATCATCAAATACTGGTTTTAAAAATTGTAATTGGCAACCCTAATTTAGTATTTATAATAATAATCATTATAACTTTAACAGAAAGCTGCTGAACAGTACAAAAGATATTTAGAAGATAATAGAAATAAAATAGAGCGAGACCGTCAAGAGCGAAGCGAGAGGATGCAACGCGTCACAAGAACTGCTTTATCTGAACTGCAAAGGAAACTAGACGATGCCAATATTGAAATAAGAAAGCAAATTGAATATAGAAAGAGTTTGAGCGAACAAATTAAATTGTCTGTGTGTGTGTGTGTGTGTGTGTGTGTGCGTGTGTGTGTATGAAAATCAAAAGTTTATGTAAATATTCTCATACATAGTTTTTAATATAAAATATTGGATAAATAAAATATCAGTTTGAGATGTTGACAGAATCTGTTTATTATTCTTTAGATATTACATATAAGTATTTAATAGAAATTGTCTTGTGTGTGTGTGTGTGTGTGTGTGTGTGCGTGTGTGTGTATGCTATAAGTACTTTTGAATAGTAATTCCTTGACGCTATCCGCCAATATTTGAAAATAATGAAAGTCATACATACTATTAAATAATACGCAATTAGTAGAGTAAGAAACATACAAGATACGTTCTCGAGTGTAAGTTGAGCAACATTATATATAAATATCCATCTGATTTATTTATCTACTTCCATGACTATTTCATAATTGGAGTACTTAGTATATAAATAATACGATTATTAAAATACACTAACTCAAGTAATAAAACTTTATTAAGAATTCAATCTAAATATATATATGATCTATCAACGCACAGCCCAAACCACTGGACAGATCGGGCTAAAATTTGACATGCAGGTAGATGTTATGACGTAGGCATCCGCTAAGAAACGATTTTAATTAATTCTACCCCCAAAGGGATAAAATAGGGGATGAAAGTTTGTATGAAACTTTGTCAATTTTAAACCTATCGGGCTGAGACTTTGCATGCATAAAGCTATTATGACGTAGGCATCCCCTAAAAAAGGATTTTGATAAATTCTACCCCTAAGAGGATAAATTAACGCGAGCGAAGCCGCGGACAAAAGCTAGTGTTAGTATATTACTATAATATATTCTATTTACTTCATCGTCGTCATCAATTTGTCTCTTTTTGTTTTTTCGTCTACTTTGTCTATACAAATCTATTTAGATTTATTAATGGTCTGGTATAACTTTGCATGTAAATTTACCACATATCTATATGATAGCAGCTGTGAAGGTATTCTTATTACTTACATAGCGATCCGCCCCGGCTTCGCGCGGGTGCAATGCTGATACTAAATATACCTACCTACTACAGAAAATATAAACGTCCTTATAAAAAACGTTTACAGCTTTTTTGTCATTACACAGTACAAACATGTTTTGTTTAGCGTCGCCGGTCGGGCCTGTACCACCGCCGCACCGCTATGTCCCTGCTAAATTAAATCTGTAATATCTTCGGAAACATTCCTTTAAATTACATGCATAATTAATCTATATTAAATTAACAAGTGAATCTAAATCTTTATTAATTTACCGGCTGCGCCATGTTATATTAAGGTTTTTAATATAAAATATTGGATAAATAAAATATCAGTTTGAGATGTTGACAGAATCTGTTTATTATTCTTTAGTACTAATTCACTAAGAAGTTTCTATATACAACACATACTATTAAATAATACGCAATTAGTAGAGTAAGAAACATACAAGATACGTTCTCGAGAGTAAGTCGAGCAACATTATATATAAATTTCCATCTGATTTATTTATCTACTTCCATAATAAAAACTATTTCATAATTGGAGTACATATTATATAAATAATATGATTTAATTGGATAAAAATTAATGCTGTGTTGCTTGAAATTACTTCGTAAATAAGCTTTTTTCCCCCTAAAAAGGTAAAATATAAAAAATGTTTATTGTGCGTTATCCTATCTTGTGGGGTTCCAGAGTTTGCAATGTAAGCGCAAAAAAAAGTGTTTATTTACGACATTACATTAGAAATCTCTAAATTTATCAGTGTTTCTCTACAATATTATGCATGTATTATATATATAAACCTTCCTCTTGAATCACTCTATCTATAAAAAACTCCACTTCAGAATCTGTTGCGTACTTTTAAAAATTTAAGCATACATAGGCACGGCCTGACAGCGACAACGACTTTATTTTATTATTATGTATGTAATGATAGTGATAAGAAATACAATTGAACTTTAAAAATTTTCAGGAATTCGAATTAAAAGACATTGCTCAAAAGGATAGACCTTTCACTAAAATTTTAAGCATACATAGGCACGGACTGACAGCGACAACGACTTTGTTTTATTATTAATGTAATGATAGGAGTAAAAGACATTGCTCAAAAGGATAGACCTTTCACTAAAAAAGCGGAGTCGTTTAAAGATATCATGGAAAATAGACACAAAATGTCGTCAGCAAGAGTAAGGTGAATAACAAAAATGTTATTTATTTAAAATAATAATATTAATGGATAATTACCCACGCAACTTCATCTAGGTCACGTTAGAGAGAGGAAGCTCTGAAAAAATATCATATAGATAAGTACTTATTCTCGCCGTTGATACAAAAGTTATGTTTCTAAGTCGGGAGAAATTAAAAAATAAACAAAATAAATATTCTACAAATGTTGTTATAAACACATATCTAGGTACATGCATTTTTGTTAATGTTACATTATAATTTCATAATGTTACAATTCTTGAAATATTTATTATAGTGCGTTCTAAGGTATATAACGCCATCTAGTGACAAGATGTAAAATTAAATTTATAACTTTTTTTAATTTTTATTATTACAAATTTCGTGTTCGGCGAATACTTTGTTTGCTTTTAGGGTGTTTTTGTAATTCCAGCCATATATATTTGTACTATTCAGACACGTATATGTGTGCATCCATATATATGAATATAATATAATATTTGTATATATTTATGTAATATATTATTGTATCTCTTAGGTTTATATTATATTTATCGTTCTGTTCATATTTTGTTGCATTTTATTTATAATTAATTATATTTGCACCGCCAACAATTATTGTCTGCACCAACTATTAGTTGACTGGTACAAAATTCGGCACGGGGTGTTGAGTGTTAATTAATGTGCCGCCAATGTACTGTACTGTAATTTTTATTGTGTACATTGAAGTTAAAATAAATAAATAAATATTCCATGCCTAATTCCTCAGGATTGTAATTTATTATTTGTTATTTGAAGAACGGTTTAACTTTATTATTACTAATACTTGTTTTTAATTTGTTACAGCACGAATCCTGTGCATCCATTTAAAAAGTTTATAGACACACAAGAAGCAAAAACATCTACAGTTCAACTGCCTTCAATTGTTAAACGATAAAACACGATATAAACAAAAGTTTTAAGAACAATAGAACCTATTCATTGCATATAAACAAATAAATAAATAAACACGCTCAAATTGAGAAATGAACTACCTGCCGAGGTTTTCTCAAGAGCCTGTACTGTACCATGGGATTTTTCAAGAAGGGTACATTAAGGTTTTTAAGGGATGGTAACTCTCCTGACAGCTCTGGTGATACAGAGGTCCATAGGCTACCGTAACCGTTTACCATCAGACGAGCCGTATGCTTGATTACTACCACTGTGGTAAAAAATAGAACGGCGCCAAAAGTCTCAAACTAATCAGAGTTTGTGCTAGTTACTAACCAATATTATAGATTTTTTTTTGTAAATACCTATATATAATATACACATAAAACACCCAGATCAATTCATACAAACATACTCATTATATTATATGTCTTTAAAATAAATACGCTATATTATAAATAAAATACTATATAAATAAATAAACTGCAGAATCATATAAAGATCAAATTTTCATTGATCTTGATCTTTGTATGGGAACATCCAAGAAAAAGAATAATCAAAATTGGTTCACACAGAAAATAATTATAAACAACATAATAATTGTATGTCCCTTACCACACATTTTACAACGAGTAACAGCTAGTATTAAATATTATTGAACAATATGAATGTCTTTTAATATTATATAGATCGAAGAAGAAAGAATTGGATTGTAGATAAATAGCGTAATCCATTTAATTTTAATGCAAGTAGTTTATAAACCGTACCGTCAAAGGGGTTGTATTGTTAAAAATATATTGTTGTACTTAATTATATATGAAAATTAAATTGCTTGACTTAATTTCCGTATTTATTTATTTTTCTTTTTTTTGCGTCACATTTTCCACGTCTTTGTAAAATTTTTCGTTTCAGTTCCACTCATATTTGTCATAATTTTTTATATCATACTTCCTATATAATTCTATCCAACTCTAATAGAGTTTTCAAAATCGGTAATAGTTACCTACCAGAAATTACTCCGACCATCGAAAATTGCAAACTTTACCTCTATGATAGAATATTAGTATGTATCTATTATTTTTTATTAAAATTGTCACCTACAGTCATTCTTCTATACTTAATATTATTATATGTTTTTTATTCTCCGTTCTTGCGAATTTGTCTATATTTTTACCATACCGAAGCAAAATAAAGAATTATTTGAGGTAACTAAAAGATAGCTGTCTGTCCTTGTGATATTATGCAGCCTAATGTTATTAGTTTAATTAATAACTTAATGAAATTCAAAGTAGAGATACATTCAATTTTATTATATACCTTCAGCCGTTTAATCTCGAAAATATAACAAGCAGACATTCAAAAGATTAATATAAATTCGAGATGGAAAGACAGGCTACTATTTTACCCTAATAGTTATATCTAACTAGACTATAGTTGTAATAAACAGTCGTAATCGCATGCATAAGCTAATTTTCCTGGAAACCATATGGTGATTTATGTGAACTGAATTTTGTGAACTAAAATTTATATAAAATTTCAGATATTCAATTAATTCTGCATTTAACTTTAGTAACAAAATAGAACGTTTGTTTTTATTTAATAGGGTCCCCAATTTACTAAGATTACCTTAGATTTAGGGAGTGAAATGTTTAGAAGGATATTATGAATAATTACTTAAATAATGTTTTGAATCGGTATTAAATCACTTCTTATACATGTATAGGAACATTTCTATGTAGCCATTAACGTAAAAATATAAATAATATGATTTTTTTTTCAATTTAGAATTTGGATATAAAAAAAAATTATTAGAAAATGTCATAAAGAGGATATGTAGGGCACATATACACGTAACCAAAAAAAGTAAGTAAAAGTTTATTGGGCATGGTTAGGTCATCATTTAAATATGTACTTACTTAAATGATGACCTAACCTCGCCCAATAAACTTTTTAATTATATCATATTAATATATATCTTTATGATGAGGAAAATTTAACATGCGTTTAAAGGTAAATATTTTAGGAAGTTGGCAACCCCTTTCTCGTCTGTCAAACTTTTTAAATATTTGAACTTGTTTTCGGCTTTTGTAATTGAAATTAAAGGTAGACTATTTTTCTATTATTTTGTTCGTAATATAGAGGGTAAAATGATGTGATGTTCCGTAATGCTTTATAAAAATGCAATAGAATGCAAGGCACGTGTTAGTAGAAGTTGTCTATTATATTGTAATTAAAAAATGGACACAGAAAAAAGAGTTCACACTTTGCAAGAATTGGAAAAATATTCCTACCGTGTCTTGCAGCAAATATCTAAGTCTATGTCTTTACCTTCTAATTACAAGGTAAGGTTTAATTCATTTTAAAGTAGTCAGCTTTGTGGCTTTAATTATAAACAAACTCGGTGAAAAATTTCATTGATTTGAGTAGTTATTTATTTCACAGTTTTAAAAGTACATTAATAAAGAACTACGTAGTCTATACATATATTGTGTTAATCTCAAAACATGCAATTTTGTTACTGCTACTTTTTCCCTTAGAAGCTGACTAAAAATATTAATGGATTGTTAGAAAAATGTTATTTAAAGCGGACTCACAAAATTCATTGAACAGTCCGGGCAACAGTTGATGTCCCGGCCTGTGCTGGCAGGTCCAGCATATGCCACTAGCACACTAGTAGAGATAACATGGACATGAAGTCTTGTCAATTTGTCAGTTGGAAAGAATTTTAATTTCCAGGCGGAAAGGCATGGAGGTCAGTCTGGCATGGTATAGCTACCAACGGAAGGACTAATCCTCATTACTTGTGGGGAAGGGTTGTTAATAATGGGGACTATCGACTTTATTCCAAGCAATGTACCATATTAGGTTGACATCCATGTGGTTCCTACTGTAAACTAAGAGGTTTCATTACAGTGGGCTAACTGACCTGACCTATCTCATCTTAATATCCTCCATTAGTGCCTCACCAGCCATAGACTGTTAACATAGATGAGAGCACCATTCCATTGTCATTGCTTAAAAAAAAGTATGGGGAAAGGATATGTGAATAAACTTTGTCTTGACTATTTTCTCTTTAACTTGGCAGAAGGTATACCTGATTCAGTTGATACATGCCAAGCAATTTGGTACAATGGATGAAGTGCATGGTATAGTACAGAAGGTGAGGCTGGAGCGTCAGCAGCTGGCACAGGTCAAGAAAAAGAGTCGTCGTAGGAAAACATATGTTCAGGTCAGATGTAGATGTATATATCCAGAAATCTCTTTTTAGAAATAGATTCACCCTGTAAATTACATTTATTGTATCTCTGTTTTTATTTCCTGTGTGTATACAATATAGAATAAAGAGGATTTATTATATTCAATAAATATAATAAATGCTCTTGTTATATTCAATAATTTTCCAGAGATAGTCTTTGTCATCTGAGTGAGATAGCTAGAAATAATAACTTTATATTATCACTTTTGAATAGTCATATTTTTTTATCATACCACTTATTCGGAACACAATGTGTGTTCCGAATAAGTGGTATAATCATCATCATCTTAAAAAAAACTATCAAGAAGATTTTTTTTGCTCATTTAAATATATATTGTATTACATATTCAACTTTACATCTTTAAGACTTTGAGGGAGTACAAACTGGCAAATAATTGATAAAATTAAAGAAATATTATAGCTACCTGAGTAACAAAAGATATCAGTCATAGTTATCAGAGCACACCAGTCCCTAAGAATTAGAAACTCCCTGCAAGTTTCTAATGCTAAACTTGTAGCTCAGGTGCCAAGCAGCTTTATTTTATAATGTGTTTTGGTTCTAGGTTCAGCTTAGGCAGTAAAATTTCAGGATAAGAGGACCAATAAGATCTTAGTCCTCAGGAGTTAATGATGGCATGATGCCACATGATCTGATTTCATATATGATGATGGGAGATGCATGGACATGCATACATTTTTATTTTATTGGGTTTTTGGGCTATTGTCAGGTGCACAGATCTGTACCACTGCAACATAGATCTATTGTGCTCACCCTTTTCAAAGTTCGCTTCTTAGACCCATCAAGGACAAGAATTGATGGATATTCTTAGGAGCGATTGTTTATACCTCCTCAGGATAGAGTGTATACTTTCCAAAGGAGATGTTTGGTTTATGCATGAGTGGGCTACAACCAAATAGTGTGTAGTGGGGTTTCCTCTTCTGTTTGGCATAATCATGCATTAACTTTTGTATTCCAATATTTCTTGAGGCTTTTATACAACTAGGTCACTGTGTTAGTCTTATATGAAAGACTGTATATATGGTTTATCTCAACAATCATCATCCAACGATAAAGCACAATTTACTTATAAATTCTAGATAGTAAAGAGTCAGTTATCCTCACCAAAGTAGTTCTATAGATTGTATAGTATATTAGATGACCTGGCAAACATTGTTTTGTCATATTAATTAATATCGCTATTAAAAATAGGGGTTGGTGGTAGAAGGATAAAACTTAGGGTAGTTTGTATATTTTAGGCCACATTATAAAAAATATATAATTTAAATAGGGGCCACCCTTACCCTCACTTAGGGATATAAAAAATAAATAACCTATTCTCAGTGCTACCAGTATACATATAAAATTTTATTAAAATCTGTCTAACCATTTTCAGAGAAGTATGGCGACTAGATCGTGACAGTCCATCCTGACAATTCAACAAGAATTTATCACAATGGTTTCCAGGGGGAAGGTGAACCTGACATAGTACATTGCTAGCAATAAGATCATCAGTCCACATTACTAACAATGTCCTTGCCCCCTAGTATTATATATTACTCTTTACATTTTGTAGGAGATGGAAATATCATCAACCAGCAACAGCCACTCACCACCTATAACAATCACACCCAAACGCACAAGCCAAATTGTGCTGAGCAACAGCCCAGTGCAACAACCCTTCATGAACTACCCTCAGCACAGGGTACTACAACCGAGAATAGTCCGAAGAACATATCCCTCGATAAAGAAGTCTGGTAGTGATAGAATTCTACGTAGCTTCAACATCAAAACCATAAAGAAAACTAATTACGAGACGTTGAATGTAAATAATACGTTATTCAACGCTGTTAACACTCATACGTCCAGTTCAGATAAGATGCCGTTTCAAATGAATCCCGAAGCGATTCACAACCCAAAATGGAATATTACAACCAATCGTATTGTGGAACAGCCAAATCAAAGTATATTGAAGACTAGTAACTATGAAATGAAAAGTAATAATAAGCCTTCTTATCATATACCAAATAATTCTACAGTAAGTAAATTCTTGATTTCCAAAAATACAATACCTAAAATAATTTTAATATAATTATAATATCCCTGGACAATTGCCACAGCGCCATCTAGTCTCAAGCTAAGCAAAGCTTGTGTTATTGGTATTAGACAACTGATATAAATACATACACTTTTTTTTATAGATACATACATAATATACATATAATACACAATACATCATACAAACAATCATACTTATGAATTCAGATGTTTGTATCGTGCGAGGAATTGAACCCGTGACGACTGGAGGTAGGATGGTGTGCTAAACGTCTGGACTATTCTAGACCGTCGAGACTGTCATATATAGTAATCTTTATTCAATCTTTGATATTAGCCCTTTAGAATTGTATTTGTTTGTGTTCATCTGACATCTTACAGTTGCAGATTCAACCCGACAGAATGAATAAAAAACATGTTTGCTACTATTTTCAAACAAATGTTATATACAAAGTTGTGTAAATGTAAAAATATAAGAAATTGTGAGAATTAAAAGCCATTTTTAAGATTTTGATATGAATACAAATAATAAATTCCTTTAATATAACAAATTGTTTGAAGTATACTTTGTAAAAAGTAGTCTGGATACCTTTGTTGTAAATAGATTACATTGGACAAGGACTGGAAGAATACCTAGTATACTATACTCTAGTATTAAGTACACATTTTGTACTATATTTCAATGAAGCAAATCCTAAGAATAAAAAAATAAATACGTATGATCTAATAAATAAACTTCTAATTCCAGAATACAGCGCCAGTAATGCCTCCCAAACGACAGAGAGTATTAAGCGGCATATATCCCATCACATCCAAAGATATCACCCCAAAAACAAACTCCTATATACACAGTATCGGCATTCGACACCGAGATGGAAAGATTTCCAAAATAAACGCATTAGTGCAAAAATCTAGAACACCAACACAAAAACCAACTGAAAACATACAAAATTCTTGTAATAACTTAGAAGTTACTATGCAGGACATAATTGATTGTAATATCGACGCTCAAACCAATATGAACTCTATGTATTCTGTCACAGATGCCAATATACCTGCTAATAATTATCTATACCCAAACATGTCAAGTCTTAATGATGCGTTTGGGAAACATATGTGTTACAATGAAGGTAATGAAGCGTGTAATGACATGTGTGACACTGGGAATTTATACACTATGTACTCCCATAAAAAAGTAAGAAATGATCAAATGAGATCACAGAAGAATTACCAAAGAGAACCTGAAGTTACCCAAGTGGAGAAGCTACCGAGAATTAATGAAGTTTTTAGCAAATTTAATGACATTCATAATGATGTGCGTAGACCGATTTATGTTCAAGTGAGTGAAGAAGCTGAGAGAAGTAAGTTTATACTTTAATTATATGGGTCTAAATTAAACGTAATTCCTAAAAGCAGTATAGTTGTTAGTTAGTGTTGACTGTACGGTAGTCCTCTTGGTCGCCGAACATTAGAGAAGGCTGTAACGGTAGTCAAATTTCCACACTGAATATTGGTGTAACCTAAAGTATCCATTAAATAGTGAAATGGACTTCTGCACAATAACGCCTTATTCTATAAACAAAAATATAGTCATTATATTTTTGTTTATTTAATTTATATTTCTACTTTATTACAGTAAGAAGCTATCCAATATATGTAGCGGGCACGATTCCTAACAGCACAAGTTTACTGGAGCCGTTATACAACTTTAGAAATCAATTTGTGGTACATCAGCCACTATTACAAGTGGCTACCACGTCTAACACAATGTGTACATACAGCACACCTCTCATAGCCTCAGCGTGAGTATAGGAATTACATTTAAATTTGTTTTTATTTGACAAACGCAGCTATTGTGGGGGGATGGGAATTGTTAATAATGTGGACTGATGACAGTCTGGTTGACCTTAACGCGGTTACTCCTGGAATCCATCATGGTAAAGTCACCAGGAATTTATCATGATGGTTTTCGAGGGAATCCGAAAAAGGAAATTCCTGTTAAATTTACTACGATGGGCTAACTGATCTGACCTCATGCCCATCGTATAATCCTCCACTGGTGCCCCGCCAGCGTAAACCATTGGCAGGAGTACTATTATCATCATTTAATAAAAAATGCAGCAATATCAGTGGTGCTAAAAATGCTTTGTATCACTTGGACTTCTGACGCAACCAAATTGAGTTAAAATAAAAAACTAGTATGCTATTAGTTTAGGGTTGCCAATCCCAAATTTAAAAAGCCAGGATTTGAAGTTGGGTAAACCAAGACAATTGACTTTAAAAACAAGACACAGTAATAGAGTTGCAATAATTAAATTAATATGTAGTTAAAATACGTGAAATGAAATTTAAGCAATTAATTTAATATTTTTTTAATAAACATATTTGTATAAAATTATACATATGTTTTAAAGTTTAAAACCTAGAACTCAGCTTCAAATTATTCAGGATGTCCCAGCAGTACAAAAACTAGGTCATTCCTGGACAATCAGGATGTTTGGCAACTCTATATTAGATAGTATTTGTTTTCATTGCATTATTGTATGTTTATTTACACACATGCATATCTGTGCAAATTGTATTTGTAGCCATACAAAAATACAAAATAGCTTAGATTTATTTGCAAATTTAATTGACTATGTTCTAGAACATTCAACGGCTATGTTTCAATTTTATTGCATCAGAATTCAACCTGCAAATTTGTTTTTTTTTCTTCAAACCAAGGATGTTATCTTGCTTTGTTAATTTATGCTATCAAAACACTGAGCTTGCTTTCTGATTCAACTGCATTTTGATCTATGTTCTTTTCTTTTTAAATCGTATAAACCCTGAGAATATTTATGTGCGGTTTCTCCGTAATTATGTATATCTGTGGTATTATGCAAAATTAATACTATAGATATACTAAGTTTTCCATATAATTTTTAAGAAATTAAAAAATACTCCATTATCTATGTTTTCTTGTTCATGTAATAAATTTTCAGAAAAAATCTGAAGAAAATGGCACGTAATAATTATGTATTTATGTATAACAATGTTAAAAAAATTACCATATTCAATTCAACACAATATTATGATTCATTCCTTTCAGTTTACGCAAAGATATCGTATAACATACAAAATTTAAGAACAGTTTTTCTGTTTAATTAAATTTCTATTTCCAATATTTAGAACTCCTTTGGATTTAAAAAAGAACTGGTAAGAATAAAACACATTACTTGCTATGTTGTATACCATATATGAGGATAAACATAAATAGGTGATAGACAGAATGGTACTCCCACAAATTGCCTCTGGAAAATAATTCTGTGGAATAAAAAATAAAGTTTTCAAAACAGTGAAATGTCACTAGCGAAAGGGTTAATACAAAAAATATTGAAATGTAATCTAACTTCTAATTTTTAACGATAAAATGTGACATCGTATTGTACTGTTAATAAATAAATAAATCACTCGTAATTGCGCGAACCGATTTTTCTCGCGCTAGATCGCACGCACTCCTGATCGCGCGTGAAAGAACGTATCGTGTAAAGTTTGGCTGTTTTTACACGATACGATCGTTCATATGCGATCTCGTTGTCTCGTTTTCTTCACTTTAATGTACTCTAGCATCCTCCATTTTCCAATTTACACGTCTATTGCTTGAATGGGTCTTTTTGTCGCTTTGCATGTAACACTAGTGGCATGTGGCTTGGATTTCAGGTTCGCACAGCAATCAACGCTTGTCACCACTGAACTTTTGACTGCCTCTTGTGAGTTCACGCCTTTATTTAACACATTCTCTATGGTTTTCAGCTGCGTTTATACTGTTGCAATTTTACAGCGCTAAAACTTAACTGTTGTATAGCTATTACAGTTTATACAAAGTACCTTTGTCTCACGTATTTCAGCTTGCTTTGTAAACTGTGTTTTGCTTGAATGAAATTACCGGATACGATGGGTGGACATTTAATTCATCCAGAAATAACAATATAAGAGCTATTATAGGCGTTACAAGATGACGCAATGTGTTAGTGTTGTTCTTGTATTGCGACGGTTACCACTTACCATCGGGTGGGCTGTCAGCTTGCTTGCCATTCCTGTTCATCGTCGCCTCTTCCCGTTACGCGAGGTCGGTTTACATTATCTTGAGATGCCATTCTTTTCGCTGGTAAGCATCGTCATTTGACACCTTGATTTCTCTATGGACATTAATCAGCCAGTTTCATCAAAATCCGTTCAGTAGTTTTTCCGAGAAAGTGTAACAAACATCCATCTTATAAACTTTCGCGTTTATAATATTTTTAAGTATTTATTTGTAATTTCCAGCGTGCGAGCAGGATAGCGTTATTAACGTTGATATGGATGCAATGCCCCGTATATCTGATCTGCTCCGTTATACAGAACAGGAGTACAACGAGCGTTCGAGCTGTGATAAAGACGACGGTATGTACTCGTGAACTATTTTAATTGTAGTACAGGGATGAACAATACGCGGCCCGTTAAACAAGTTTATGCGGCACGCCAAGGATTTCCATAATAAAATTTATTTCTTCGTCTCTTTCCCATAAATATATTGATATAACAGTAATTGTAATAAAATAGGTAGGTAGGACATACTAAACCGAAACCTTTTTATTTGTGACGAGTTACTTACATGTCGGCGACTAGTTTAAACATGTAATACGAACATTTCCATTTTTTTATTGTATAGGTACTTATTGTGCGACTCGCTAAAAAATATTAATAAATTAAACTAACTAAACTGGCCTGTTCATTAAAAATAACCTTGAGCAAAAGGAATGAGCAATCCCTGCTGTAGTATATTTTACTTGTAACCGAACAGTATCAATTTAGGTACAGACTGTTGTGAATGAAACAAGTTAACAGAAGGTACAGACTTATTTATTTACTAGCTCTTGCCCTCGACTCCGACCACGTTAAATTAAAATTAAAATAAATAGTTTTTAAAATAAAGGTAGCCTACGTTTATTCTGAAATCGGTAGGTGGTGCAAGAGTAATAGTAATCCATACAAATATGGTATGATGTAAATGCGTTATGATAATTCTAATCACGATACGGATTTTACTTCCGCACTTAACTTATCGTACAATGTTACACGTAATTTTGAGTGACGACTTAAGATCAGTTCCGTTAAGACACGTTTTCGCTTTGCTCCACTTTTAAAAATCATATTGTATAATTATAAGTCACAATACACCGTTAAATATACATAATTATAAAGTTACTTCTATAACCAACTCATAATTAAAATCAGTTTAAGAATTCATTCAGTGACACGGAGGATATAAGTGAAATACTAAATTGTGTTTAACCGTTTACGGAATGCAGTAAGAACGTACGGAGACAAGTGACCTTTAACCGAACCGCGTGACCGTGCCATACCGGCAGTGCAACAGTGAATACAATTCGCATCGCATAGTGCAGTAACTCGACGAATCGAGCAATTAATCGAGAAACACAAACTTAAATCATGCCGAAGTCGTGTGTCGCTTGTGGAAATTCTATTCAAAACTCTGAATACATGGAGTGTGAAAAGTGTAAGAAGCACTATGATATAATGTGTCTCAATTTAAAAAAAGACGAATGGAAGAAAACATTACAGAAGCAAAAAAACAAATGGCTGTGCCCTTTATGTTCAAGTTCAAGACCTAAAGGAGACAACTCAAATACGCCAATTAGACCTACTAACAACGCTCTCGAAGACATTCAGGAAGATCTTGAAAAAGTAAACACGACGCGTGGTTCCCGAATTAAGTCCACAAACATGGTAACCGATAGTAATGTGAGTTTGTCAGATTTAATGAATGAAATAAGGAAGCTGAGAGAAGAGGTGAGTGAGATACCTGCCTTACGAAAAGAACTCGTTGATGTGCGATCTCAAATACTTTCGATTGCCAACTCACTAAACGAAACCCTGGCTGATCACAAGAAAAAACTAAATGATGCCCAAGTTGAGATATCAAATTTGAAAGGTATAATACAGAATTCGCAAAGAGAGCTAGAAATTCTAGAACAAAACGCATTGTGTAACGAACTCGAGATAGTTGGTATACCGGAAAGTGGTGGCGAGGACTTGATGAGCACGATAATTACGACATCAAATAAACTGGGAGTGGACCTGAAGGAGACAGACGTATGCCATGTGACACGAGTTGGTGCCAGACTTGCACAAACTTCCAGTTCGGTAAAAGAAATAAAAGCGCGTCCCATATTAGTTAAAATGGTCCGACGCGCCAAGAAAGAAGAAATTATAAAGGCTAGTAAAGCTCATAAAAAACTTACAACAGAAGGAATAAAGGACGGACTGCCTAAACCGGTGTACATCAATGAGCGTCTCACTCGAAAGAATAAACAGTTATTTCGAGAAGCCAGACTACGCTCGAGGAAGTACAACTTTCAATTTTGCTGGGTTCGGAACGGCTTTATATATATCCGGCAGTGTGAAAAGAAGCCGGCATTTCGTATACAGTGCTTCGAAGATGTTGATGAAAAAATTGGCCCTGCACTTGACTTACATGTGTCCCTCTAATGGTGGTAAAATGCTTGTTAGTTCTGTGTATATGATTGTAATAATATACTTTCAGTTATTTCATAACTTAAAATATCCTATAAGAAATACACTTTATCCTTCATTACTTTACATAATAACAGCTCATAACATTTCTTACACACATAAAACAAATCATACATCTTTCTCACACTATACAAAAAACGTTCAGAATCAGCATAAAATAATCCAAAACATATCACACTCCAGACAGTTCTCTCAGCATGTTTCAAAAATTTACTGGCTCTCAAGAGTAAATATAAATTTATTACAATTTAAAAAAATTAAACCAAAACGCCTGATCCACTTTTAGATATAGATAGTTTACTATCTATTAAATGTTTTACTCTTGAGAAACCTGAAGAATTCTCATCCTATTTAACATCTGAGTTAGATTTTAAAGTCCTTACGGACTTTATTTGACCTTATTCTGAAAGGTAAATTTCCTGATCGATGGAAACACTCATTAGTCACTCCAATTTACAAAGACGGTAGTAAAAATATTCCTGCAAATTATAGACCAATCTCGCTCCTAAGCATTTTTTCTAAACTACTTGAAAAAATTATTAATAAACGTCTTGTAAATTACTTAGAAAAACACCAGATTATTTCGGAAAATCAGTTCGGTTTTAGAAAAGGTGCCTCTACAGAAAACGCCGTCTCCCGTCTAACAAATATCATCTCTACTTCTCTGGATCAAAAAGATTGCTGTATTGGAGTCTTTATTGACTTAACAAAAGCCTTTGACACGGTCTCACCTTCTATTCTGTTAAAGAAATTGGACTATATCGGGATCAGAGGCATTCCTCTAAACTGGTTTAGCAGTTATCTCACTGGTCGTTCTCAGTCTGTCAAAGTCGGCTACATTGCTAGTAATCCATTATCAATAAACCTAGGAGTACCCCAAGGAAGTATACTCGGCCCAACCCTGTTTACAATTTATATAAACGACCTTTTACAGCATCCATCATTTGAAATGAATATAACAGGATACGCTGACGACACAGCGATTCTCTTCAGAGGGTCATCTTGGGAAGAAACTCGTTCGCTTGCTGAAGAAGGCATGACACATCTTGTAGACTGGCTTCACCGAAATTTATTAACTCTAAACACAAATAAAACGACTTACCTGGCTTTCCACAAAACAAATGCATCTGCCCCCAGACAACTTCTTCCAATACCTATACACACATATCCGTGCAGAAATCAAACCAGAAATTGCAACTGTGAAACAATAAAAAGATCATATACGATAAAATACTTAGGAATAGTACTAGACGAAAATCTATCTTTTAAAAAACAGATATCTTGTCTATCTGCACGACTAAAAAAGATCATATATATAGTAAAATCTCTCAGACAATCAACTCCACTTGATGTCCTCAAGATGGTGTATATTTCCCTGTGTCAGTCAATTTTAATTTATTGTATAGCTGTCTGGGGTGGATCTAATAAGTATGTTTTTATTGAAATTGAGAGAGCACAACGGGCAGTCCTTAAAGTAATGTTAAATAAACCTTTTAGGACTGCAACAGATATAATTTATGAAACAGCACAAGTGCTACGTGTACGTCAACTTTACATTTGGCGGGTTATATGCCTACAGCACAAAAAAGTAGGGACCATGATCGAATACGAAGCCTTGTTACAAAATCGTACTTTCAGAATTCCTCTACCCTCGATTCGCACCACATTTGCCAAGCGTTTGCCACTGTTTTCCCATCCGTACATATATAACTATGTCAATAAGAAATGCACAATTGCAAAACTATCCATGCATCAAGTCAAAAAAACTACAAAATGCTGGCTGATGAAACTAAATTATGACGAAACAGAACAAATACTTCCAACTTACGGCTAACACACAGTTCTGCAAATTGAACACACACACACACACACACACACACATATTCATACATACACACTCTCATTCACACCAATGCTCACCTTTTCGATTATACATCCACAAATTTATTCCCTACATTTTACACACAAGTCCCATAGCTATTAATACAAAGGGTAAACATGTAAAATGAACACAATAATAAGTCACTCCAGTCTCTACAATACAGGCCTGCGAGCCTAGTGTAGAACTACAGTAAATTAAAATGTAAATGTGTATCATGAATAAAATATTATTATTATTATTATTATTATTATTATTATTTTATTTATTTTCAGAATTGAGCACCACGAATAATTCCCTGGTCAAATCTGATAGCCAAGAAATTGGAGCATCTGTTACCATTCCTGAGATGGTCGAAGATGCCCTCGAAATCATTAGCCAAGATGGGGTAAGTTAGTTACCATACATTTTCACATTAGACAGCTCAAGCTGTGATAAATATTAGGTATTTTCAGAAATTGATATTTATTTCTCTTCCATATTAATTGTGTATTAAGTACAAAATATTAAATACACAATCGACTGGTTTATTAACTAAATAAGATTAAACCAGAGCAGATCAGTTCTTATAAGTATTTGTTCACGACTATGACTGACTAGCCAGCCATCACAGGATACCTAAGCTCACGACTTGCATAATTTGATCTATTGGGATTTTTATTAATTATTATTACAATTTTTACCTTCTGGTCTCTAAACTCTCTCTAACTCTCAAGTAAAACACATGTAATATTAATATGGGATTTAATAGGAGCATATAATAGCTTTTACTTATCTGCAAAACTTCCATTTCTTTTCCCGTCTTATTATTATATATTGTTTTTTGTTCTATTATATTTCCTTCTTATGTTGGTACCGCTTACTTTAATTCTCTTTCTCGCTCTCTCGCACACATCTATGTTTCTCTTTCACGCAATGTTCCAGTTTATGCATCAAGCAATCCAATACCACATTTTTAAGGTTTTTTTTTGTAATAATAATAAATTCTAAATTTCCACAAATTACGTAATTCCAGTTTTATTATATAATAGAATTGTTATTATAGGACTATATGGAGAGAATAGGCATGGATGTAAGGATGCAGTGCATTCTGTGCTCTTGGGCTGGTCCCAAGTTTAAATTGGAATATCACATCAGAAAGGTAATTAAATATCTATTAGTCATGTAGACTATACAAAAATTTATTTTTATATAATTGAAATGGTATTCAGGCTTGGAACTCAATCAATGGTAGGCGTTAACCGTCGCCTATATCCGACAACTTGATGATGATACATTGCTGTTTCCATCTCTGGTGAATGGCAATAAAAGTGACGATAGCGCAGGAGCTCGCATAAAGCATGCGACGCGAAAAACGGGTCTCGTCAAATTTCATTAAGATCTGTACAATATCTTTATACAAACAAATGTATTTTTGAATTTATAACATTACTTGGGATGAGAGAGAAGGGATGGTACTCTCATACCCTTTGGTCAGAGGTAATAATAGTGGTGGTGATAGAGACGGCAGACACTACTTTTTAAGTTATTTTTTTAAGTCCTGAAAGGCAAAGGCAATTATCCGGGTGTTGTTGGATTTAACTACTCAACACCCTTTGAGTCGATGTCGGAGCAAAGGGTTCGCCCTGAGGCCTCAACCTTTATCTTCCTAGGGGGGTGTGGATGATTAGCGCGTACGTGCGTGCGTGCGTGCGTGACTGCGTGCGTGCGTGTGCACGCGCGGAGAGTTCAATAAATTTCATTAAGATCCGTTTATCCATCTAAAGATATCAGTAACGAACAAATAATAACTGTGGATGACTAAGAAGGGACGGTAGTATGGTACGTACGGTACCCCTACGCTCTGGCGAGTGGTAATAACAGTGGTGGTGACGGTGACGGCAGGAACACGCGCGGAGCATCCGCAGGGAGGAGCGCGGCGCGTGGAGGGCGCGCGTGCGGGCCGGCGCGCCGCGACTAGTGCAGCACCGCGCCGCGCTGTACGTGGTCGCCGCGCGCCGCCGCCGCGCCTGCCTCGTCGCCACGCTCGCAGTCTGTACACTACACTACACTACACTACACTACAGTAGCCACACTTAGTGTCGTGTTACGAGCGCGTGCGGGCCGGCGCGCCGCGACTAGTGCAGCACCGCGCCGCGCTGTACGTGGTCGCCGCGCGCCGCCGCCGCGCCTGCCTCGTCGCCACGCTCGCAGTCTGTACACTACACTACACTACACTACACTACAGTAGCCACACTTAGTGTCGTGTTACGAGCGCGTGCGGGCCGGCGCGCCGCGACTAGTGCAGCACCGCGCCGCGCTGTACGTGGTCGCCGCGCGCCGCCGCCGCGCCTGCCTCGTCGCCACGCTCGCAGTCTGTACACTACACTACACTACACTACACTACACTACACTACAGTAGCCACACTTAGTGTCGTGTTACGAGCGCGTGCGGGCCGGCGCGCCGCGACTAGTGCAGCACCGCGCCGCGCTGTACGTGGTCGCCGCGCGCCGCCGCCGCGCCTGCCTCGTCGCCACGCTCGCAGTCTGTACACTACACTACACTACACTACACTACACTACACTACACTACAGTAGCCACACTTAGTGTCGTGTTACGAGCGCGTGCGGGCCGGCGCGCCGCGACTAGTGCAGCACCGCGCCGCGCTGTACGTGGTCGCCGCGCGCCGCCGCCGCGCCTGCCTCGTCGCCACGCTCGCAGTCTGTACACTACACTACACTACACTACACTACACTACACTACACTACAGTAGCCACACTTAGTGTCGTGTTACGAGCGCGTGCGGGCCGGCGCGCCGCGACTAGTGCAGCACCGCGCCGCGCTGTACGTGGTCGCCGCGCGCCGCCGCCGCGCCTGCCTCGTCGCCACGCTCGCAGTCTGTACACTACACTACACTACACTACACTACACTACACTACAGTAGCCACACTTAGTGTCGTGTTACGAGCGCGTGCGGGCCGGCGCGCCGCGACTAGTGCAGCACCGCGCCGCGCTGTACGTGGTCGCCGCGCGCCGCCGCCGCGCCTGCCTCGTCGCCACGCTCGCAGTCTGTACACTACACTACACTACACTACACTACACTACACTACACTACAGTAGCCACACTTAGTGTCGTGTTACGAGCGCGTGCGGGCCGGCGCGCCGCGACTAGTGCAGCACCGCGCCGCGCTGTACGTGGTCGCCGCGCGCCGCCGCCGCGCCTGCCTCGTCGCCACGCTCGCAGTCTGTACACTACACTACACTACACTACACTACACTACACTACACTACAGTAGCCACACTTAGTGTCGTGTTACGAGCGCGTGCGGGCCGGCGCGCCGCGACTAGTGCAGCACCGCGCCGCGCTGTACGTGGTCGCCGCGCGCCGCCGCCGCGCCTGCCTCGTCGCCACGCTCGCAGTCTGTACACTACACTACACTACACTACACTACACTACACTACACTACAGTAGCCACACTTAGTGTCGTGTTACGAGCGCGTGCGGGCCGGCGCGCCGCGACTAGTGCAGCACCGCGCCGCGCTGTACGTGGTCGCCGCGCGCCGCCGCCGCGCCTGCCTCGTCGCCACGCTCGCAGTCTGTACACTACACTACACTACACTACACTACACTACACTACACTACAGTAGCCACACTTAGTGTCGTGTTACGAGCGCGTGCGGGCCGGCGCGCCGCGACTAGTGCAGCACCGCGCCGCGCTGTACGTGGTCGCCGCGCGCCGCCGCCGCGCCTGCCTCGTCGCCACGCTCGCAGTCTGTACACTACACTACACTACACTACACTACACTACACTACAGTAGCCACACTTAGTGTCGTGTTACGAGCGCGTGCGGGCCGGCGCGCCGCGACTAGTGCAGCACCGCGCCGCGCTGTACGTGGTCGCCGCGCGCCGCCGCCGCGCCTGCCTCGTCGCCACGCTCGCAGTCTGTACACTACACTACACTACACTACACTACACTACACTACACTACACTACACTACAGTAGCCACACTTAGTGTCGTGTTACGAGCGCGTGCGGGCCGGCGCGCCGCGACTAGTGCAGCACCGCGCCGCGCTGTACGTGGTCGCCGCGCGCCGCCGCCGCGCCTGCCTCGTCGCCACGCTCGCAGTCTGTACACTACACTACACTACACTACACTACACTACACTACACTACAGTAGCCACACTTAGTGTCGTGTTACGAGCGCGTGCGGGCCGGCGCGCCGCGACTAGTGCAGCACCGCGCCGCGCTGTACGTGGTCGCCGCGCGCCGCCGCCGCGCCTGCCTCGTCGCCACGCTCGCAGTCTGTACACTACACTACACTACACTACACTACACTACACTACACTACAGTAGCCACACTTAGTGTCGTGTTACGAGCGCGTGCGGGCCGGCGCGCCGCGACTAGTGCAGCACCGCGCACCGCGCTGTACGTGGTCGCCGCGCGCCGCCGCCGCGCCTGCCTCGTCGCCACGCTCGCCTGTACACTACACTACACTACACTACACTACACTACACTACACTACAGTAGCCACACTTAGTGTCGTGTTACGAGCGCGTGCGGGCCGGCGCGCCGCGACTAGTGCAGCACCGCGCCGCGCTGTACGTGGTCGCCGCGCGCCGCCGCCGCGCCTGCCTCGTCGCCACGCTCGCAGTCTGTACACTACACTACACTACACTACACTACACTACACTACACTACAGTAGCCACACTTAGTGTCGTGTTACGAGCGCGTGCGGGCCGGCGCGCCGCGACTAGTGCAGCACCGCGCCGCGCTGTACGTGGTCGCCGCGCGCCGCCGCCGCGCCTGCCTCGTCGCCACGCTCGCAGTCTGTACACTACACTACACTACACTACACTACACTACACTACACTACAGTAGCCACACTTAGTGTCGTGTTACGAGCGCGTGCGGGCCGGCGCGCCGCGACTAGTGCAGCACCGCGCCGCGCTGTACGTGGTCGCCGCGCGCCGCCGCCGCGCCTGCCTCGTCGCCACGCTCGCAGTCTGTACACTACACTACACTACACTACACTACACTACACTACACTACAGTAGCCACACTTAGTGTCGTGTTACGAGCGCGTGCGGGCCGGCGCGCCGCGACTAGTGCAGCACCGCGCCGCGCTGTACGTGGTCGCCGCGCGCCGCCGCCGCGCCTGCCTCGTCGCCACGCTCGCAGTCTGTACACTACACTACACTACACTACACTACACTACACTACACTACAGTAGCCACACTTAGTGTCGTGTTACGAGCGCGTGCGGGCCGGCGCGCCGCGACTAGTGCAGCACCGCGCCGCGCTGTACGTGGTCGCCGCGCGCCGCCGCCGCGCCTGCCTCGTCGCCACGCTCGCAGTCTGTACACTACACTACACTACACTACACTACACTACACTACACTACACTACACTACAGTAGCCACACTTAGTGTCGTGTTACGAGCGCGTGCGGGCCGGCGCGCCGCGACTAGTGCAGCACCGCGCCGCGCTGTACGTGGTCGCCGCGCGCCGCCGCCGCGCCTGCCTCGTCGCCACGCTCGCAGTCTGTACACTACACTACACTACACTACACTACACTACACTACACTACACTACAGTAGCCACACTTAGTGTCGTGTTACGAGCGCGTGCGGGCCGGCGCGCCGCGACTAGTGCAGCACCGCGCCGCGCTGTACGTGGTCGCCGCGCGCCGCCGCCGCGCCTGCCTCGTCGCCACGCTCGCAGTCTGTACACTACACTACACTACACTACACTACACTACACTACACTACAGTAGCCACACTTAGTGTCGTGTTACGAGCGCGTGCGGGCCGGCGCGCCGCGACTAGTGCAGCACCGCGCCGCGCTGTACGTGGTCGCCGCGCGCCGCCGCCGCGCCTGCCTCGTCGCCACGCTCGCAGTCTGTACACTACACTACACTACACTACACTACACTACACTACACTACACTACAGTAGCCACACTTAGTGTCGTGTTACGAGCGCGTGCGGGCCGGCGCGCCGCGACTAGTGCAGCACCGCGCCGCGCTGTACGTGGTCGCCGCGCGCCGCCGCCGCGCCTGCCTCGTCGCCACGCTCGCAGTCTGTACACTACACTACACTACACTACACTACACTACACTACACTACACTACACTACAGTAGCCACACTTAGTGTCGTGTTACGAGCGCGTGCGGGCCGGCGCGCCGCGACTAGTGCAGCACCGCGCCGCGCTGTACGTGGTCGCCGCGCGCCGCCGCCGCGCCTGCCTCGTCGCCACGCTCGCAGTCTGTACACTACACTACACTACACTACACTACACTACACTACACTACAGTAGCCACACTTAGTGTCGTGTTACGAGCGCGTGCGGGCCGGCGCGCCGCGACTAGTGCAGCACCGCGCCGCGCTGTACGTGGTCGCCGCGCGCCGCCGCCGCGCCTGCCTCGTCGCCACGCTCGCAGTCTGTACACTACACTACACTACACTACACTACACTACACTACACTACACTACAGTAGCCACACTTAGTGTCGTGTTACGAGCGCGTGCGGGCCGGCGCGCCGCGACTAGTGCAGCACCGCGCCGCGCTGTACGTGGTCGCCGCGCGCCGCCGCCGCGCCTGCCTCGTCGCCACGCTCGCAGTCTGTACACTACACTACACTACACTACACTACACTACACTACACTACACTACACTACACTACACTACAGTAGCCACACTTAGTGTCGTGTTACGAGCGCGTGCGGGCCGGCGCGCCGCGACTAGTGCAGCACCGCGCCGCGCTGTACGTGGTCGCCGCGCGCCGCCGCCGCGCCTGCCTCGTCGCCACGCTCGCAGTCTGTACACTACACTACACTACACTACACTACACTACACTACACTACACTACACTACAGTAGCCACACTTAGTGTCGTGTTACGAGCGCGTGCGGGCCGGCGCGCCGCGACTAGTGCAGCACCGCGCCGCGCTGTACGTGGTCGCCGCGCGCCGCCGCCGCGCCTGCCTCGTCGCCACGCTCGCAGTCTGTACACTACACTACACTACACTACACTACACTACACTACACTACAGTAGCCACACTTAGTGTCGTGTTACGAGCGCGTGCGGGCCGGCGCGCCGCGACTAGTGCAGCACCGCGCCGCGCTGTACGTGGTCGCCGCGCGCCGCCGCCGCGCCTGCCTCGTCGCCACGCTCGCAGTCTGTACACTACACTACACTACACTACACTACACTACACTACACTACACTACAGTAGCCACACTTAGTGTCGTGTTACGAGCGCGTGCGGGCCGGCGCGCCGCGACTAGTGCAGCACCGCGCCGCGCTGTACGTGGTCGCCGCGCGCCGCCGCCGCGCCTGCCTCGTCGCCACGCTCGCAGTCTGTACACTACACTACACTACACTACACTACACTACACTACAGTAGCCACACTTAGTGTCGTGTTACGAGCGCGTGCGGGCCGGCGCGCCGCGACTAGTGCAGCACCGCGCCGCGCTGTACGTGGTCGCCGCGCGCCGCCGCCGCGCCTGCCTCGTCGCCACGCTCGCAGTCTGTACACTACACTACACTACACTACACTACACTACACTACACTACAGTAGCCACACTTAGTGTCGTGTTACGAGCGCGTGCGGGCCGGCGCGCCGCGACTAGTGCAGCACCGCGCCGCGCTGTACGTGGTCGCCGCGCGCCGCCGCCGCGCCTGCCTCGTCGCCACGCTCGCAGTCTGTACACTACACTACACTACACTACACTACACTACACTACACTACACTACACTACAGTAGCCACACTTAGTGTCGTGTTACGAGCGCGTGCGGGCCGGCGCGCCGCGACTAGTGCAGCACCGCGCCGCGCTGTACGTGGTCGCCGCGCGCCGCCGCCGCGCCTGCCTCGTCGCCACGCTCGCAGTCTGTACACTACACTACACTACACTACACTACACTACACTACACTACACTACACTACACTACACTACAGTAGCCACACTTAGTGTCGTGTTACGAGCGCGTGCGGGCCGGCGCGCCGCGACTAGTGCAGCACCGCGCCGCGCTGTACGTGGTCGCCGCGCGCCGCCGCCGCGCCTGCCTCGTCGCCACGCTCGCAGTCTGTACACTACACTACACTACACTACACTACACTACACTACACTACACTACACTACAGTAGCCACACTTAGTGTCGTGTTACGAGCGCGTGCGGACCATATAGCAAAGTCTATACCCACACATTAATTCTTAGTTGCGGTTAGTCATACGATAATTCTTATGACTAACCGCAACTAAGAATTAAACACTTCATCCGAAACACAGCTTACAAACAATATTATAATAAATAATACTAGTATACCCACGTAGACAATAGTATACAAAAACTACTCTGTTCACGATAGATCCCGATTTGAAGTACCCACCTGACTTGTCCCTATTTTAACCACATGACGCTAAACAATAGAAAAACAATACACTCATACATTACATTATTATAGGGATCACGAATTTTCATAAATATGGATTATTAAAAAAATTTAGAACCTTATATTTTACTTTGTAGATACTTATATATTTAATTATTGATACTCCCAATTAATCTAGCTTTATATGGTGACCAGTAGTAACAAAAAATATAATCTTTCTATTTTATAATATTACTAGCTAACCACCCTGGCTTTGTACGGGTGTACATGTATTATACACATAAACCTTCCTCTTGAATCACTCTATCTATTGCTAAAAACTGTACTAAAATCCCTTGCGTAGTATAAAATATCTAAGCGAACAAACAGTGGGGATGAAAATAACATGATTGTTTTATTACAGACTATTTCAAGCGAAACAGAACTACCAAGAACCGGTTCTATAACTATACATAACAAAATTACCAATGAACCGTACAGTTGGGAAGGGGAGATCCGCCAAATAACACCGGAGTCCTGCGAAAGTGATAGCAACTGCTTGATACTGGAACTATCAAAATTAGGGTTGTCACCTGAACAAGCCAACTTAGACCGTGTGGAGTCACCTTTAACGTCTATTACGGAAAACCAACCGGATTATAATGATATAGAAGTAACGATGTATGTTAAGATATTCGACTGAATTTAAAATTTAACTGATAGATAATTTATCCTTTGTCCAATTCCAATTTATTCACATTTTTTTTATACTCAGATCGATCCCCCGTCCAATTCAAACGGTGATCGACATACGACAGCCTGAGCCTGAGGTTCGAACTCCTAGCGGTGCCCTCAGACTCAAATCGTACCCGTCAGTCGGGAGTTGGCCTTCAGCCGCTCCATAAATATTTCCGCGGGATTGGAGTGCCATCTGCACTCGCCCCTTGTCGTCCAGTGAATCTGTTAACGCCAGCAGTATTAAAAAAGTCCGATTTTCTTTTATAATAGTGTTGTATTAAATATGTAACATAGCAAGTTTTTTCTTTTGAGGTTGGCTTGCTTGCTTAACGTCTATTAAAGGAAATCTATAGAATTTTAATGATTGAGAAGTGATGTTTTTTTTTAAATATTCGACTGAATAAGAGAACTGTTTAAAATTGAAGGGTTGTATTAAATCTGTATCTTTGTAAGATTTTAAAATTAGTACATTAAAGAAAGCATTTGTTGCGTAATAAACTTATATATTGTTACTCATTAATCATATATAACCTTCGAACAACTAATATATATAATATAATCTTTCTAGACATTTCTTTATTTTTGAGAATGTGACAGTTAAAATGTTTATAAAAGGTTTATATTACCTATGAGAGGGTTTATATTTAGAAATAAAATTTTAATTCTTAGTCTCTACTCTTTAAGTTTTTTCTGTTTTTATATTGTTGACTACATAACTGTATGTATATTAAGTATTATCAAAATTTGTTATATTTAGATTTACATACGATGTAAACAGAATCTTTACTTAGTCATATGAATAAGTGAATCAATAACTTCTTGTTTTTGAAGGAAATAGAGCATCTTTTGACACTTCTACCATTAAATCCATAGAATAGTGACTACTCTGTGGTTCTATTGGACTACTGATTATATATGATTGCTACTACTTACATAACGTAGGTCTTGTTTGATATTTTTTATAAAAAAAGAATGATGCAAACATTATTATATTTGATGTGCACATCGATTTATGTAATTATTGTATCTTTCTGTGAGAGGAACAATAAAGTGTTTTTCATTCATTCATTCAAACCAACTATAATAATATAGGTATTTTGTTTCTTTAAGTTTAATATTAAGTATATTTCATACTATATCACATTTTTTTTTAATAACGACTGAATTACTTTGTGTCTATGAGGTTTATTTTAAACCGATTTATATTTTTTGTTTCTGTTAATAAAGTAATTAGATCTACTTAATACTATCGATGATAACGATCATGTTTTTTTATTTTTGTTATAATTTTATAATCATGTTGATTACCTAAGAGTTGACATTTGTTTTTGTTTTGATTCAATTTTCCTTTGAATTTTGTTAAAATATGGAACCAATAATCGATTGGTATTCTGTATTTTGTATTCCGACATTTTCATGTGTACTTAATAATTTAAGTTAACAAGTTTCTAAACAAAACAATAATTGGAATGTAATTTTATATTAATAAATTATATTATTTAATTACGAAAATTACATTCTATTTATTATTTTGTTTGGAATATTTTCATAGCGGACAGGATTTGAACCCGCACGTTCTTCGCCAAACCGCACCATTCTTCTGGTGCAAATATCACACATTTAGAAACTCTTTTCACAACAGTTAAAATGTGATTTTTATATTTTAATATATAAATGTAACCATTTGTTCACAATTAATATATTGCCAAGATTAATATAAAGTATGTTAAAATTCTTTTTGGAATTTTTTTATATATTTTTTTATGTCATATGAAAATAGTACTCTACAGTACGATGCATCTATCAAAGACATAATCTTTGTCCTATATACTTATTGACGATTTACGAATTAAGAAACAAAATTGACGTGTTTAGATTTATATTTTCTTGTTTTTTTATTTTTTATGTTTTTGATTGATTGATTTTTGATGTTATTTTCATTTCTAAGATCACTTTTTTATAAACTACAGGGTAATATGAAACAAAGATTGTTTCTTTCTCCACTGATGACTTCTGTAAACAAAGTTGTTATGTATTTGATACACTTATGCTTATTATTAGATTTTATTAAGCAATGTGCCATTTGATTGTTAAATGTTTTTTGATTTGTTAATTAAGCAGTGCTTAAAAGTTGATTAAATAATATAAAAGAAAAATTCTACTTTTTTTGTCAACTAACGATTATGTCCTAAATTTATTCTATTCTATTCTTCAAGTGGAAAACGAGTTAGGTGTGGCAATATATATATGTAGGGTTTACAACGACGATTCACAGTCTACCCTATCCGGTATTACTGTAGTAATATATTTATATAAGTATATGTATATAAAAGTAAGTGTAAGTATATAGTATATTTACTTCTAAAATTAATCTATAAATTATATAATTATAATAAGAAGTAATATCGGCATGAATGGCAAGTGTTAAGATCATTTATTCATACATGAAATTACTTAGTTATATATATTTTGCTGCCTCAATTGAAAAGGAACTAGTAAGAATGTTTATTTGTTTGTAATACTTTATTGTACTGTAAACACATTTAAAATATTGGGATACAACAATCCTAAGAAATAAGTTGTACAAGTCAATTAGTACTTTTTTTATCGCAGAAGTAAGTACATAATAACAATTACGATAGACGTGGAAGACAACTTTCCTCTGACAAAATTAGAATCTAATTTGGAACCTTATGGAGATACATTTGTGAAAGCGAGAACTTGGAGAAACAATATTTTGTACCTATATTTTGGAAGACAATGATTTTATTTACAAATAATTATTGGGTACTATGTATTGCTTAAATCGATTATTATAATTTATTTAATTGAGACGCAACATTTTTATGAATAACTAATGTACCTAAATCTTATGAGTTTAGTGTTGTGTCTTGTTAAGGTTGGGCTCAAAAGAACTTGTATCCAGCGCCGTAAAAAATAAAAATATATGTAGTTATGTACCTAGTAAAAAATATATTCACATTTGACTTTTTACAACAGTAATACAAAATTGCTATTTGGATGTATATTGCATTTTTTTGTAAATAAAGAGATATGTTGGAGCAACCCACTCAGGCTCCGCGACAGAAGATCCCTAAAGATGGCCCAGGACCTAGGGGAGTACCAGATTGTTATTATGTAAGTAGAATACGGATACCTACTAGATAAAAACTTATTTCATGTAATCGGAATGGCAAACAAACCCGGCCAGCCTGATGGTAAACGGTTACCGCTGAATACATAAGTGAGCTGCACTACGGACATCATGTTATCATGTAATACTGTGACACCACTCGCTACTCAGTAGTCTCTAGAGTGGACAACTCTAGAGACTAAGATGTCATTCCCCTTATCTTGTAATTTCCCTACCTAATTTGCATCCTACAAACGAAACAGACCTTATAAAGCAAGCTTACTTGGTGGCAGAAATAGGTGAGACAGAGGTACGCAGACGTTCTGTATTGCTGTTGTTTCAGAGTTCGCTATTTATTCAGTAGCGAACTCTGAAACAACAGCAATAACTGCCAACTATTTATTGTCCTTGACTACTCACCTTAATATCCTTCCTAATATTATAAATGCGAAAGTGTGAAAACCAAAAGACATACATTAAAGTGAGTGGAGCCATTTCAGTGCATTTTTGGATGTAAAAAATGATTATTTTATGTTTATTTTTAATTATGGTAAATTAAGTTTAATTATATGTACATTTTATTTGCTCATTTTTTTTTTTTCTCGTTTGTTGTTTATATTGTATTTTTGTTACATTGCACTGAATAAAATATTTTTCTTTCTTTCTTTCTTTCTTAAAGTAACTCTGTCTTTCTGTTAGTCTTACACGCCAAAACTACTAAACCGATTTAAATGAAATAATAAGTAGTAGGTACACAGTTAGTCTACACCCGTAGAAAGGACATAGACTACTTTTGAATGCGAAAAAACGGTTGAAAAGGTAGTTGCAAGGTTGTATGGAAGTGTCGTTATTTGCAAAGCTAGATATTTTTTAGGCTACTGATTGAATTGTATGGAGTTCTGTATCGTCATTTGAAGCTAAAGCGGTAAAACTTTTTTATATATGGTTTTTATTAGGTTAGGTCATTAAATATTTTTTCATTATTTGGTCAAGATCACTATTTCACGCGGACAAAGTCGCGGGAACAGCTACTATATAGAATATATATAGATTTTTTTCTTCAAAATCCCCATGCACATTTATTGTCACATGATTACAAGTGTGAATACATTTATTTTAATTATTTTACGCAGACCTCCCGCGTGTTAAACTCGACATTCCGCTATGAGAAATTCGTCAAGAAACTGCGCGCTGAAGAGGAAGAGCAGCGGAAAGGTGCTGAAACGAAACTGAAAGACCTGAAGGATAAGCAATATAGCGACTTCTTCATACGCTGTGATCGAAGGTACGTGTTTAATAAAAGCTCAGGGAATTTTACCTGACGATTTGGCAAAGTTTCAAGGGCTCTTTACCACTGTTCCGATATCAAATTTAGTTCCATGTATGGAGACTTATTAAACAAGTCATAATAGGGGGAAAATTGATAAAGTAATGTGAACTAATTCATTACTCCTTCGTTAGCAAAGTACCAAGTCAACCACGCGTTGACCACCACGCGGTTCCCCCTGAAAACTATCGTGATAAATTCCTGATGAATTAGTCACGATGAACCAACTGATCTGACCTCATCTCATCATACTCCACTGGTGCCCTGCTAGCGTAAATCGTTAGCGCAGGCGGGTGAATCATTCCATAAGCATCTATTAAAAAAAATAGTCTAATAAGTTAATAAAACAATTTGTTCTCACATAAACGACCTACATACGACACTAAAACCTCGTATCTAAAGAGTAGTCTGGTTTGGTTGCCGAACAGTCAACACTAGACTTCCAAACTATATCCAAACTCTATTGATTGCCCGATGATGCCTCACTTAGATGCGAAACACGTGTCGCAATATGACTATGGATCCAATAACGGTCGGAATTTGATCATTAATAGGGAAGGTCATAACTCTACCAGTAGCGGTGGTCAGTGGTCAGGTTTCCACGCTGAATATTTATGGTATTACATGGCTAATGGTAGCTAAACGGCAACGCGCACGTAACACCCCTGATGTTTCAGTTAATTCGCAGTTTGTATTCACAAAATTCTTAAAAATGTAATTCAGAATATTTATTTAAAAGAGCAACATGCAAGTTTCTTGCTCATTCTTCTTGTAATGAGTCTGCGTTCCAAATGAGTGGTAGATTAAAAAATATGAATATTCAAAGGTGCTTATATTAAGTGTTTTTGAATAAATATTATTTTTATTTCTACTAGGGACATCAAATTCGTGTGTGTATGTTTTCTAATAATCTATACATATAAATAAAATTGGAGTGTCTGTTTGTAATATTGAAATACTACGTTTTACTACATGCATATGAATATAAATACGGTATATACACCAAAATAACATTTTTTACAATTTTGGTCTATCTGTTTGTTTGTTCCGGCTAATCTCTGATATGGCTGGACCGATTTTAACGGGGCTTTTTGAGTAACTTAGGCTACTTTTATTTTAGAAAAAAAAAAGTTAATATTCACGCGGACGTAGTCGCGGGTGCAGCTAGTAGTAAATAAATATTATAATCACCAGTCTTATAAAACAAATTCTTTATTTTTTTACTACAATGGTTAACTAAACTGTTATTGTTTTATTATTTAGTTGAAAATAGACGCTGTAATGCCACACACGAGCCTATTATTATGTTGTTTAATACGTAATTTAGTACATAAATTAAAAATATCTGAATTATAGCAATTTTTACGTTACGTAATGTATATTTAGATCCCTTATCAACGACGTGGCGAGACGTGTCGACCTCTGCATGGCGTCATATCAAGAGGATCTCAAACAGAAACGTAATAGGTCAGAGTACTTACTTATCTAATAGCTTTATCTATATTTTTTATAAATAACGCCACATCATCGTCATCAAACCTACAACCTACATTTTTTTGATTAAATTAACAAAAACAAAAAGAAAATACCCTCAAGACTATTGTCCTAGCTGGGGTAGTCAGAGTTCGATCAGCATATCTTGACCTCAAACTCAAAATGTTTATTCATTCTTATTCACATAGGACCTCGTGGCCTTTTGTGCACGTCATATTTTCTATCACTATCCCTATAGTCCAGTTCGACTAGCTACTTCAGTTGAAAAGAACTGGTAAGAAACTCAACTGATACATATTTACTTAATCTTTGTTTCTTATTACCGAAGTCAGAAATGTAAATTGACACACAAGGCATTTTATTGTGTAGGCCAATTTGAACTGTTGAGCGTTATTCAAGGTAGTAAACCACTAGGCCATGATGGTATAAAAATAGGTTATAATAATCCCTGAATAATTCACACAACGCCATTTAGTCCCATAACCAATACAAGCAGACATACTTATGGATACAAATGTTTGTACCGTGCAAGGAATCGAACCTGCGACCACCGAATGTAAAGCGCTGTGCAAAACCGCTAGACCACCGAGGCATGCATATGTATGTACTCATAAGACAATCTGTCTTGTGAAATTTCATTAAGATTCGTTCGTATACCCTCTACCCATATCTACATGGGAATGTATATAATTTGGTTACCAAATTATACCTATTACAACAAGATTATTCTGTACCAATTTTCATACAGATTATTAGATCTGCTCTCCGCAGAAGAAGAGGCAAACATCCGCAAGTTTGTGGAACAAGCACAGGCGGGTGCGGAGGCAGTATGGCAAGACAAGCAAAACCGTCTCAAATACTTGCTCGAGAAACGGCAGAAAGAACACGAAGAGAAATATAAGGACACTCCTCTGTTAGTAATGTCATTTTAACCGACATCAAGACTAGGATTTTCTCCATTTTACTTTTTTTTGCACGAGTTCAGAACTAACAGCGTGAACAGATTTCCATTACTTATTTTGATTTGAAAATTGGTGCTTGTTCGTGTGGTAGATTTAAGAAGGAAACCTAGTAATGTACCATGTCAGGTTGACTCCACCCGGTTATCTCTGGAAACCAACATAATAAATTACGGGTGATTTTACAACGGTTTGCTAAGTGACCTGACCTATCACTCATCTTATCCTCCACTGGTGCCCCGCCAGCGATACCGTTAGCGCAGACCGGTGCAGTATACCATATTCAAATAAAAAAAAAAAGTTGATTTGCAAACATGCATACGGCCTATCTGATGGTATATAGCTGCTGTAGCATATTGACGCCTAAGATGCCAGGGATGTCAGGTGCGCGTTGCCGACCCTTAGAAACCTTAATATGCCCTTCTTGAAAAACCCCATTCTGTCCCATGAGAAAACTTCAGCAGGTAGTTCATTTCGCAATCAAAGTGTATGTAGGAGGAAACTCCCCTGAATAAAGTAATAACGTATGGCGGATTTTAAAAACAAAACTTAAATTCTATTAATATTTATATGGACACAATAATGTAAACAGACTTTAATATATATATGTTTTACCTTATAGGTCTAAATGTGTTCACGTACTGCCAGGCATCTTGAAGCTGCGCGCCAAAGAGGCTGCGGAAATACAGCTGTACCAGATGAGAGAGAAGGAAGCAATGAAGATGGCCGAGAAAGAATTCGAGAAGATGTGGCATGAAGTCGCCATGAAGGAATCAGATGCTTTGGTTAATAAATTTATTTTATACTAACTGACCCGTATGACTGCATTACGCATTATTTGACATTTATCATTTTATGTCCAATTTTCATATTTTTTTAAATTATACCCTATATGTTATTCTGATGTATAAGCTATATTACTGTAAAGTTTCATCAAAATCCATTCAGTAGATTTTGCGTGAAAGAGTAACAATCATCCATCCATACTCACAAACTTTCGCGTTTAAAATGTTAGTATGATTATAGGAATAGCAAGTCGACGGCCTATTTAATGGTAAGCAACATTCGCAACTTTTTTAGTAAACTACACAAATACTAAACAAGTCTCATTACCAATAGGACTATTGCTATGCTCGTTAGTCATTTAAGTAATCGTTTAGTGAGTAATAGACTTTGCTCAATAATATCCCTAGACAATTCAAACTGCGCCATCTAATTTAAACAGAGCTTGTGTTAAGGGTACTACACAACTGATAAATATACTTAGTAATTTTTTTTAAATACATACATAATATACATAGCAACTATATTTTTGTATTTGTACATTCCGACTGATGCAATCATAATTATGAATACAAATGTTTGTATCGTGCGAGGAATCGAACCTGCGACCATTGAAAATATAGCGCTATGCTAAACCGTCATATTATTAGTACAGATAAAATAATATTGCATTTAACAATATAATAATAAGTATAAATATTATTTGTAAGGCGGCTCGTATGGAACAAGATGCCATTGAGCGATCACGGCGAGATAGGGAATGCAAAGAGTATGCCGACTACCAACTTGAGCAGAGACGACAGCAGAGGGAGAAAGAAAAAGAGATTTTAAAGCAGGAGACTCTGAGGATGAAGACAATGTGGGCGGCAGATTTGAAGAAGGAAGAAGAAGGTAACGAATTTGCTTTGCTTCCACTATTTTGACACTCTTGTCATATTGGATTTCGTGATTTTGGATTTTGTGGCTATGACGGAAAATTTTCTAATATTATAAACGCGAATTCAAATTCAATTCAAAATCAAAAATCATTTATTCATGTAGGACATTTTAGCCGCTTATATGAATGATTTTGAGCATGGATGAATAAATATTTGTTATTCTTTGACGCAAAAACAGAACAAACGCTTGAATAGATTTTAATCAAACTTTACAATAATATAGCTGATGCACCAGAATAACACATAGGCTATAAATTTCACGCGGATGATATAGAGGGCACAGCTAGTAAATTGTGTTATATTATTATTATATATTTGCGTCAAAGAATAACTGTAACTGTGGAAAAAAATAAAAAATAATATATATCATTATTAATATTACCAGCTGAACGGGATCGTACTGAGAAACGCAAGGAAACGGCATCTGAACGTAAACAGATGATACTCGAGAGGCAGGAGACGATCGCCAAGCAAAGGGCTGAAGACAAACTCATTGCGGACACGTGGGACTCCCTTGCTGGTCAGGGCCGCGCTGATGAACTGGCGAAAATAGAGTTGCACAGGAAAAAAGAGGTAATATCTAACCTATAGCCTCAGTGATCTAGCGGTTTAGCAAACGCCTTACTTTCCGGTGGTCATGGTCTCGATTCCGCGCACGATCCAAATATTGTTATTAGTCTTGATGTTTTCTGTGTATATTTTATTTATTCTTTATTGCACATATAAAATTGTACAATTTGACGAGCTTAATGCCATATGGCATTCTCTAACTATTACTCACTAAACGATTACTTGAATGACGAGCGTGCATGGCAATAGTTGTTCATGTACGGGATTTTCATGTAATGTTAGACATAGACACCTATATAAATACCTATACATTGTAAATGAACTGGCTTTAATAAAAAAATAATAATTCAATTGAGTTTCTTGCCAGTTCTTCTCAATTAGATCTATATACCGAAGTGGACGGTAAAAAAAAATGGAGGGAAAAAAATTATAATGTAAAAACTTGACGTTCATAACCGGCTAAAATGACCTACATGAAAAAATTATTTTTGAATTTGAATATGACAGCTAACCATTGGGTAAGAACAGAAAGCGATTGAAAGGCAATGCCCTGGTGGAAAAGGATAAGCGTACCTAAATGTATAGTATATGTATGCTTTTACAAAAAAAATGTATCTAAATATTTATATCAGTTATCTAGTACCCATAATACAAAATCTGCTTAGCTTGGGTCTAGGTGGCGAATGGTGAATGATTACTATCGCCCATATACATGAACAGCACCACAGATATCACATTATCATGTTACATCCGTGATACCATTGACGGGCTGCCATTCCATGCTGTGGACTAGGATGTCATGCCTGTAATTTAGTGCCTATTTTTTTTTTACAAACAAGCATACGACTCATCTGATGGTAAACGGTTATCGTAGGCTCTGGACGCCTGAAACACCAGAGTTGTCACGTGCGTGTCGTCAAACCTTAATATACCCTTCATGAAAAACACCATGTTGTAATGTCTCGAGGAAACTACGGCAGGTAGTTCATTCCAAAGTCTTAAGTGTACGCAGGAGGAAACTCCTCTAAAACATCCAAGACCACTTAGGTTAAAGCATGTGGGGATGAATTCCCTGTCGATAATTTCTCCCTGCAAACTGAAACAAAGATTTCTTCGTGACTGACTGAGACGACTTTGTACAAAGTGAAACCTTGCTTTTGGATTTACAGCGTGAATTAGATGAATGTAATCGCAAAATGGCAGAACTTAAAAACGAGATGAAGAGATTGGAGACAGCAGATGATCACATTTTCGAGCAAGAGGCACGCAACATGCAAGAGCAGGTGGACAAGAACCGATGCCAATATCTTGCATGGGCACAGAAGACTAATACGGTGAATATTTTTATTTATTGCGTGTATATTTATATTTGTCACTGGTGATGGAAACACTGATAACAAATTAAACTAGTCCGAGCGGTGGTAAAGTTAGGGGCGATAATTTTGTTTTTTTCATACAGTCCTTTTCACAGCTGGTCATATCAGGCCTTCACCGCCGAATAGTTTTTTAAAAAAATATTACAAACTAGCTGACCCGCGCAACTTCGTCTGCTTCACACTATACCATTTATCATTATATTTCGCCCAATTTACACAATATCTTTTTAAACTACAGCCTATATGTTATTCTGATGTAGGTAGATATAAGCTATATTACTGTAAAGTTTGATTACAATTCAATAGTTTTTGCGTGAAAGAGTAACTAACATCCATACTCACAAACTTTCGCGTTTATAATGTTATTCTAAACATTTACGATATGTACACTTAAATTGCTCAACAGCGTGCCTCGCAAACAAAGGTACTAATAAATTGTAATGTTTTTATTTCATACAGTGATATCACATTGGGGGTCTTTTGGGAGTATTTTGTGGCTTTGGAGGATTTGTTGGGGAAAGAAAATTTAATTAGGACATAAATTTAGGTTTTTGGTTCCTTAATTAAAACTAAAAAACAAAAATAGTCTAAAAATACGTGTGACATAACAACTAACGCCATGATACCTACTAGTATAGTATTATTATTACAAAATTTACTATTTAATTTACGTATAAACAATATTTTTTCACACACATAAAAAACAGTAGATTAGAAAACATACTCCTTTTTTAAAATCGGTTGATAATTAGAACAACCTAGTTCGTTACCAGTAAACGAAATAATCTTTACCTACACAGGACGTCCGCAAAGCAATGATTGAGCAAATAAAAGAACGCCAAGAAGCCCGCGAAACTCTTAAAAAGAAGATGGAGGAACAAGACGAGTATCATAGACAACTTTTCAGTCAGCTCCAGCAGCTAGTTGACCATAAACAAATGGTCGACGCACAGGCTAGGCTAACACACCAAAAGGAATTGTTGGAGCAAATCGAATATAATAAGATTTTAAAGGTAAACCTAAATATTCAGTACTAAATAGACAATAAAGTTCCAATTCCAACAGAAAGTGTCTCGCTATATTGACTACAAAATTGCATCGTGCTTGGAATCAAAGCCGTGACCATGGGAAGTAAGGCAGTGTACTAAACCGCTAGACCACCGGGGCCGCCCATTATCATGTATAAAAATGCTATTTATTATATGCTTCAAAATACATACATTGCACTGAATAAAATATTTTTCTTTCTTTCTTTCTTTCTTTCTTTCTTTCAAAACTTACAGGAAAGAGCAAAACAAGAGGAATTGAACCAAATCAAAAAATGCCAATTAGCCACTGAGGAATATCAGCAAGAAATCAACAAGATGTTATGCCGGTAACTCCTTTTTATATAGATGGAATAGCGATAATTTTATGGCCCGCCACAATATTAAAAAGCAATATTTTTTTATATTATTTCGTTTATAAACTTACTAACTACGCGCCCCGGCTCCGCCCGGGTGTACATGTATTATACATATAAACCTTCGTCTGGAATCACTCTATCTATTTAAAAAAACCGCTTCAAAATCCGGTGCGTAGCTTTAAAATCCGGTGCGTAGTTTTAAAGATTTAAGCATACATAGGGACAGACAGCAACAGCGACTTTATTTTATACTATGTAATGATAACAAATTAAAATTAATTATTCATCTGGATTACTCTTAACATTCAGAACTCAATAGTAGGAATATATTTTTTCAGGCCGTTCTTCAGCGACGAATTGCATCCATTCATGAAACAAATGGCCAAAGGTCTCAAGATGAAAGAGAAATGTCCTTGCTCCAAACTGGATTACTGCAGAACTGATTAGTATTTCATTTTCGTTCATGTATAGATGTTTAATGTTATGAATCAATGAATTGTTGAATATAACAAACGATATGCGTTTAAATAAATTTTATTTTGTATTACCTGCTGTGTATTTTTTGAGTGGATGATAATTGCATGCTGGACCCGCTTGCTCTATCAGTAACTAATATGCTCTCTATATTTTTTATTTCACATAAATTAGATAAAACAAATGAGAAGAATAATTCTTGTGCCAGTATTAGTTGCCATACTACTCCGCAATGGCTTAACCGATTTTGATGAAATTGTATATACCTATATACTTGGTAGGTTTGAAAATAAGTTGTTATATATTTTTATATTCGCACAGATAAGGTAGAATTTTATTTATTTGTATTAAATTTTTTCCATGAATTGGCATTAAAATGACATAGAATTCTAAATTTACACCCTTCTAACATCAACCCCTATTTTTTATTAGCTATATTAATAATATATGGCAATACGTTTGCTGGGTTAACTAGTGTTTTATATTAGCATTACCTACTCATTTATTCTGTTTATTGTCGAGTCCCAAGCTTTTTAATAAGAACGATTAGTGGACATAAGATTTTTTTTTTTTATTATTTCTTATCTACTCATATACGTATTTGTAAGGAAGAGTAAGGATATATAGTGACCATTACTTCCTCACATGACGGACAACCTCGTTTTACTCGTAAATTACATAATTGTTCATTGACATTGACAAAATATGATTATATTATATCAGGTAAGATTAACCTACGGCCCGCAGTGGTATCAAAAATAACAAATTTTCATGAATATTCACTACATCACTGCCTACTTCGTAAGAGAAACTTTTTTTCTAATTTTATTGTCTCATAATTAATAAAAATATTATTAATTGATAATTTTATGCAATTGGAAGAACAAAGAATTCAACTGCCCTTAAATTAGCTAGTAGATATATTAAAAAAGAAGTAATATCCTAGTATTTCTGACACAAAATAAAAAAAACATAGTGTTTTTAATGTGAAAATTTAATCATTCTTTATTCAAATAAACATAATATAAGCACTTTTGAATAGTTATACCTATACTTAATTTTTTTTTCTACCACTCATTCGGAAAGCAGACTCATCCATCACAAATCCGCACAAGAAACTTGCGTTCAATATGATGTAATTTAAGATTTTGAATGAATACAAACAGCCAAATAGCAAGACTATTGTCCAACCAGCGCAGACAAATGGACCATATATAATAATAATCGTCAGCATCCTTATTTGTCTCCAATAATCTATTACAATGGCTGCATATAATAAAATTTAGAAGTAATATCCAGAGATAAAACGGTCTATAACTCAGAGGGGCAGTGAGGCCACCCTCTGCTATTGTGTTATAGCCTTTGTTAATAAAATAATAGAATAAAAGATCAACGACGACGACACTTAAGTTCTAAATCGTCCTCTACTAATAAAGTAAACATAAAAATTTGACATTATACAATACGTATTAGAATTCAATTTGAATGCGACCCACGTAACCAATACGCGGGCTACATTTAAATATTTTTTTCTATGCGACCGAGAATTTAGCGACCCATACATAAAAAAATATTAAACAGACAATGCTAATCTGGACCATAATCTGTGGTTAAACGAGCACGTTACACGAACGTAAGCTCACCTAATTTTTATTCCGGAAACGTACTAACAGATTCGTGTCGATAAATGTCAAGTAGCAAGTGGTACAAGTGACAACAAAATTGTTAAGATTTATAAAATTTATGATGATGATGTCATTGTTGTAAATCCGTCAACAGCAACTTAAAATGTTTTCTTTCATGCGTTCTTATGTGACTAACGAAGAGTCTAAATGGAAGAGATAGAGAGAGAAGAGAGAGCACCGATCTGAGAAGGGATCAACTGTTCTTTGGAGAATTTTGAAGAGACAATATGGCGGCCTTATTGCTGAAGGCAGTTTTTTTCAAGGTAACGTGTAAATAAAGAGTATGTAGGTATAATATGAAGAAGGAAAATGATATAGCCTATAGTCTTCCTAGATAACAGAGATAGACAGTAGATAAAAATCATCTCATCTCGTTACCAACACAAGATTTTAAACTAATCATTTTTTTAATACTACTTTTTTTATGGTGGCAAATAAAGCATACGGCCCATCTTATGGTAAACGGTTACCATGCCTATGGACACCTGAAACACCAGGGGTGTCAAGTGCGCGTTGCCGACCTTTAAGAAACCTTAATATACCCTTCTTGAAAAACCCCATGCTGTAGTCTCGTGAGAAAACCTCGGCAGGATTTTTTTATTACCTTTCAGCACGTTTGACCGCATTCTCAACTGGAATTATCACATAGATATTATTATTATACCACGCATTCAACTTTTCTATGCGAATGTATTCAAATACCATATTTTTCCTGTAGGAAGATCTTAATTGAAACAATAAAAAATTACCATGTTAAGTGACTCACTTTATTATTGTTCCTTAGAATTTTCCTCAAACTTCTTGTCATATAAAAGCTTGGATTTCGCAATCAGCGTCAGTCAAACCAAAACAAACATGTACAATATACTCACATTGCTTATTTTGGTTTCCATAACCAATGCCCGGGATATTTCCCTCGGTTCTGAAGGTGGCACGAAAATATTTGATGAAAACTTTCAAGCAAGTCCCGCCATATGGAGACAAATGCAAAATGTAACAATCAATACAACAGACGACGAAGTGATAAGTAAAATCATAGTGAAAGATCTTAGGCCCGAAAAAGACGGAGATGTAGATATCGTCGATGGAGGAGAAGGACAGAAAAAACTTACTTTAGAACTCAAAAGCCCAACTGTGTTAAGAGGATACGATTTTCATGTGGAAGTTTACGCGACACCAACATCACAGGCAAAAGTTATAGATGACAAAAAACAACAGGATTTAACTCATCCTAAGCAAATAGGAGGTCCTAAAAACCCATTAGAAACTTCAGGATCTAAACTTGCCTTACCACGTACAAATGTTGATACCACTAAAGTACCTGAATCTTCATTATCTGCAGAGAATAAAAAGTATGACAACGAAAGAAAAACTCGTGACACAACTCACGATACTAAGAAACAAAATGAAGACAATCTGAAGCCTAAGATTCCATCGCTTACTGGAATTGAAACAAAAGAAACAGAAATACCAACTAAATATGCAGGAAATCAAAAAGACGGAGCAAATAAATCAGAGGATCACGTAACGGAGAGAAATAAAAGTGCTGATATCGTAGGAAAAGAAACAAAACCAATCAATGGAGAAGCAAGACACACTCGTGCGACTGAAGAAGAAGAAGATCAAAAAATCTTATCGGACATCTATAAAAAAGCTGGTAACGATGATTTTTCAAGATCTACTACTAAAAGACCCACTTTTGTACAATTGAATAAGGACAAAAATAGTGCTCCTCTAAGTCCCCCAATAGCCATTGCTAATGACAGAAATGCAAGAGAAACTAGCAAAGATGATAAATCTGATGAAACTTTGGCACCAGTTGTTAGTAATAGAAACAACCCTACGCATACAACGTCATCACCTTATGGTAGAAATATACCATCAACTTTAAGTCAAGAGGTTCCAACATTTGGCTTAAAAATAAATACGAAAGACCATTCAGATCCGAAGAGCAATACTAATTCAGAAATAAATGGCAAAAGCGCACAGGAATTTCCTACCATTATATCTAAGGAAAACGACAAAACTGAATCTATAATAAATGATAAAGAAAGAACCACACGAGACATTCATAATCCAGATAATAATGAAAATTACAACATATCTAGAACATTAAGTTCATCGAATATTAACAATAATGAAAATAATGAACAGTTAAGAAATTCACCTAGTGCACTCAAAGACTTAAACACTCATGCGCTACCACTCAACGATCAAAATAAAAATAGCAACCCTGTAACGTCTAATATTGGAATTAAGCCAAAAGTAGAGAACAAGGACGAGAAACAACCTCCCACGATATTTTCTAACAAACACGACAAACCGGCTGTTACAATGTTAAGTGATAAAGAAAGAACTAAACGAGACACACATAATGTAGCTAAAAATGAAAATTACAATATACCTAAATCGTTAACCTCATCCAATATTACCAAAAGCGACGAAAATAATGACCAATCACTTAAGACAGAAGATATAAACACACCAATACTACCTCTGAATGGGCAAAATAAGAATGGTGAGCCATTGACAACCTCTAACAATGCCAACAATCCAGCGACAGAAAACAAGGGAACAACAACTCATCTAGGAACTTCAGAATTGACAAATCCACTTGAAACGAACACTTATTCGCAAACGTCAAGTCCAGGACCAAACGTGCACAAATATCCTATACCGTATCCCTATGCTGGATCATACACAACCCCGAAATCTGATCATAAAAGAGATACAATATCTGCTGATACGGGAAAGAACTCCCCAAAATCTCCACTACTCTCTGCATCTGAAGGTTTAGAGAGTTCTACTTTGAAAGTGAATACACCAAGAATACATGAGGAACCAGCAGCGTATTCGACAACGCCAAAGTCGGAACACAAAAGAGATACAGTACCAAAAGAAAAGAAACAGGATAATGAGGAAGATCCAAAAATTACTCCTAAAATTTCTGGCAATCCAAACATTACAGAACACGTCAAAACACCTGTGATATCTATTCAATAAATTAAACCGAATTTCATTTGGTTAATTATATAACTAAAACGTTCCATAATAATGGTATTTATTTTTTATTTAATACATGGTTGTTATATTAAGTAATCACTGAAATATTGTCTGTAAAACTGTAATAAAAAGACAGTAAATATTAATAAAAAAATGTTTTATTTAATACATATAAATCAATATAACCAACAGAGCTTATAAACAAAGTTATTACTGATAAAATTTAAAAAATGTATACTTGTAAATTGGTCTTTTTTTGTTCAATTGAATTGAGCAGTAATATTAGGTTAACGAACAAATATTCGAATTAACAATTTTAGGAACGTAATTGTTATTTTTCAGTGTTTTTCTAAACATACTCGTATAGGTATATCATAAAGAGAAAAGATTCCATTTTTTGTTGCAAATGGACAAATTAAAAAAATACTTAACTGATTTAAAAAAATCTTTCACTTTTACATTACTAAAGAGTAATGTAATAAATTATGATTGCAATAATGACGGCCTCGGTGGACTAACAGTTTAACACACCGCCTTGCTTGCGATGGTCGCCGGTTCGATTCCTCGCACGATACAAATATTTGTATATTCAGAGTATGATTGTTAGCTATGCATTTTGTGTATGTATTTACAAAAAAAAAAAAAATCTATCTAGTACCCATAAGCTCCGCTTATTTTAAAACAAGATGGCACTGTGTGAATTGTCTTGAGATATTATATTATAAAAAGTATCCATGCGAAACTGGGATGGGTTGCTTGTTAATATTAAATAGAATATTCTCAATAATTGGAAATAACTCTTTAAAATTATGTACTGGGACAGGATTGCGTAGGTGTTTTTTTTTATTGTAGAATATAAGTGGTTACCGTTGCCTATATACATGTATATAGCCGACAACACTACAGACATCATGTTATCATGTGACACCCGCTTACCTCTCATGCGTTGCCATTCAAGAGGACTGGGATATCATGCTTCTAACCATAACTATGTTATATAATTATATCTTTGAAATGTTTTTCAATATTTAAATTAATAATAATAATGATATTTATTTTTCAGATAAACGTTAAAAATAGTTCAATAACGTAATTCTATAAACATACTATAAGCAATCAGACTAACGTAAAATATTACTAAATATAAAAAACAATAGTTAAAAAAATTTTATAACTAAGGAATGTATTATACAATTTAGATCAATAAGATAGGCCAATACTCATTCCAACATACAAATAGGTATATATAATATAATTAGTATTACATGGGAGTATTACATTATCAAAGATATGGGGTCATATCTACATTTTAGAGTCATGTATACAAGATAAAAACGAAAATTAAACCACTATTATTTTTAGGCCATTCATGATAATTATATATATTAACTGCTTCGATAGCTGAATCATTTCAATATCATAAACGCAATAATTTATAAGAATGAAGTATGTGTGAATATTTATTACCCTTTTAATTAACAAATATGATACTATAAATTTAGTATGCTGATAACATATCTCAGGATACTATATCCCGTAATGTACGAGGAGATAGCCACGGGACATAACTACTAATTTAATTAATTAATCTGTGCTCCCGTATATTTGATAATATAATATCCGCCTATTAGTTACAACTTGAGAAACTATTATAACCTTTTTAATTTTGGGAATACTTTTTAAGCATCCTGTGACATGCTTTTATAAAGCATAGTATATATATTTTTAGTTTATCATTTGAAAATGTATTATTTAATGGGAAATTAATTTCATTACTTAGGCTGGTAACATACATTTGTTTCGCGAATAACTGGACTCCAATTGGTGCATTTGGATGCTAGCGCCCGCCTTCTTTAGAGATAATTGACACATTTAATTGATGTAGCAATTAAATGTGCCAACTAATATAATTAGCTGGACTCATATATAATTAGCTTATTTGATTACTACATTTAATCCTATTTAGAAATAGGTAACAACCAATGTGTTAAAAACGGAACTTTAGTTACAATCAGGCAACTTGATGACTAACTGACTGTATGTTACCCAACCATAGTGCAGTTACACATTCAGTTCGTAGGATGATTCAACTTCCCTTCGATTTGCGTATTTGGCTCATAGGCTCTGATGTCTTTGTAGATACACCAATAGAAACTGGGTCACATTGGAAATTTGTTCAACTGAACTGAATAATGTGACCACTATTACAGGAGAAATAGAAATAGTATATTAACATATTACCTAGGACACAAATTTAATTTGTTGGAAGATTCTTCTATGTAATTTCCATTCTATTTGGAAATTTCATACTCTTCATTACTCTGCCCTAATCTTTTGTAAATATGCCAAAAGACACTAGGTTACATTGGAAATTCATTCAACTGAACTGAATAATTTGACCACTATTACATGAGAAATAGTATATTAACATAGTGTCTATTGCTAATCATATTTAATTAAGGAATGTACTGGTATACCATCAGGAATATTTTTACGGCCGTGTAGAGATTCTAGTTCGATCACTGCTAGGCAACCAATGACATCTGCATGGCAAGCTTTTAATAACTGAATAGATGCAGCTATGGTCCCCCCAGTTGCTATTAGATCATCAACAATAAGGCACTTGAGACCCGGACGGATTGTATTCTTCTGGATTTCCAATACATCCTGAAATTTGTCAAATTGATTACTTGTATGTTTTATGCAGACATTTTTATATATATTAATTAATTAGCTGTGTCTAGAACTCTGTATGTCTTTAGAATAAGCATGTGTTCTAACTTTTTTGTTTGAAACAGATAAAATTGCTAAAACGATTTCTTTTGCAAAACATATCGAAGTATTTCTATCAATGGGTCAGTATCTAATACCTATTCATAATTCAAACTCTGCTTAATAATAATACTTTTTATTATGTACACAAAAGAAACATAATAATATATATATATATATACATAAGCAATTTTTACAGACAGTTTGTAATTAAATTATCCTGTATTAATTATTCTATGTTATTGTTAATATAAATACTTACAGAGCCATATTCTAAATCATATTTGTGGGATACCACTTCTCCAGGTAACTTCCCTCTCTTTCTGACTGGCAGAGAACTAACTCCTAATTCAGCGGCTAAAGAGAAGGAGAAGAGAAACCCTCTAGACTCCAAACCCACTATTGCCTCAACACCTTCAAATTTTGTCCGTATTGTCTCCACTAATAAATTTTGGAGCAGCTTGCATGTGGCGCCATCTGCAATTGCTGAAAATATATCCCTAAAAAAACAGATGAAGTTAAAAAACAATAAGACATAAATAAAGAAAAAAAAAGAAAAATTTAAATATTAATAATGCTCCCAAATATAGCACTACTTCCTAATTAAGTTAGGTTAAGTTATACATAATATTTAGTTTTATTTATTAATTTTGTTTGTTCTAAATAACTAAGAGGCTCTTAACCCTGTCCTTCGGGAGCTGTTGCCACCGGTGTTGACGGCCGTGCAAATTCGAAAGCTAACAAGATAAACCTAAATTATGAACATAATTAAAAAATTATACAATAAAAATAAAAGTTACCAAAACAATATTCCTTTCTTGGGAAAATCCGGAAAACTCTTGATTTTGCCTTTTAATTCAGCTATTTTACGTGCATGATCATTTACCATCTTGTATTAAATTATTTCTCTTATAATTATTAACACTTGATATACAGTGTATGTATATATAAAGCAATAAAACTAGAAAACCAATATAATAATCAAAACATATTAAAAGTTTTGTAAATAATTTCAAATAGTTCACTAAAAACCTTCACTGTACAAGCAAGTACTACGTATTTTATTGGCATTTAATTATTTTGAAGTATTCTTTAAATTTTAATTGAAATATTAAAACAATACAAATTTTAAAAGTTTTAACCTATATCATGTAAGCCAATGTCAAATCAATAACGTCAATATTGCTGTTCCCTTTATTTCAAACACAGCTATTGTGTCAATCATGATTTTACTGTCAGTCATACCAGAGATAAGATAATATTACAACTTTACTGATTAGAAGTCTTTAATGGAAGACAATGGTATGGTGCAACTGCCTGTGCTAACGATTTACGCTAGCGAGGCATCAGTAGGGTATGATAAGATGAAGATGAGGTCAGGAGGTCAGTCAGCCAATCGTGACAAATTCATCAGAAATTTATCACGATGATTTCCAGGGGTAACCACGTGGAGGTCAACCTGACATGGCACATTGCTAGAATCCTCTTCCCCCCACCCGACTATAGGTCGTCTGTATTCCTCTAAGAGAATGCGGTCTCGGGACCTTCTTTTTGTGTTCCTTATTTTATTTTCTAACTAAGAAAAAATATTCTAACTCTAAAAATGATTGGAAACTTACGTCGATAGAGGTCTCTTTGTATTAAGCTATAATAAGCTTCATACTAACATTATAATACTTATTTAATTTAGGTAGTATGACCGGTATTACAATATAAAATATAATGAATCAGTTCATCAGATAATAATTTAATATGATTTTTTTAATTTGTATGTTCTAAATTCGTGGAATATCTCGCCATGCGCCATTAAATTATTATTATTTTTTTGTTTCTATTTCTGCCTAAGGAAAGGCAAAGGAAACTGTACCCATACAGTCCTTAAATTAAAATAAATATTGAGTAAAATAAATGACAGATTGCTGTCATTGACAGTCAGTCTCTTGACCACAATAAACTTCAAATCAAAATTTCAAATCAACGTCAACCGTTCTTTACGTATAATTTTAATTTATAAATCATATAAAAATTGAAATCTGTTATTTATAATTATTTAGAAACAATACAAAAGATACACTAAATTGAGCATAACTAATGTGAAGTATTTGCTATTGTATTGCAAAAATCTATTTCGTAATTCTATTACAATCGCGTTTCCCGCGTTTGAAAGTGAAACTTTCACGATATAAACAATAAGACAAATACAATGTTATCTACGGGTGATTTAGAAAGGCTTATTAGTATGAAAAGGCGTGAGATAGAGAAAGAGAAAATGCTTCTCGGCCTGTCTTCCCATCTTGTTAATGTGAGTATTGTAATTTGTTCCTATGTATATTTTGTAAACTGTTGATGGTCGCATGGCTATCGATTTTCTTGTCTCGTATGCCGCGGCCTGGCTACTCGCCATTCAAGTGTTTTCCTATCGATTCAACTGCACGCGCCGGTTGTTTAGCTCGTTGCGTAGAATAATGCATTTTGTACGTAAATAAATAATTATATCTTGGTACAAATACAATGAATATTTATTTTTATTGATTAGTGCTTTAGTTTTTTTTTTTAATATTTGTTTGGAAGGTATAGGACATATTGAAAGTTTTATCAGCTGCTTCAACTTTATTCTAAATAATATGTAAGTATGCAATTTCTTTAATTTATTTCTTCAATATCATGTTACAAGATAGTCAATTAACCCAATTTAAATATTGTATAATATTATTATATAGTTACTGCAATATTATATATTTTCAAATATGATATTGTTTTCATTAATTGTATATTTTTTAATCTTGTAATTCAACACTAATGGTTATTTGAAACATTATGTATTGTTCTATTATGTAAACAATTAATCAGCACACAGAAGCTAATCAAATATAGACCATATTATCTTGGGAACACAAATATTTTTTGATATAGAATAATCAGAATTACCAAATTGTTGTAAACAGCCAAAATATGTAATAAACATATCACTAATAAAAGTTAAAATATTATCGAAATATATATTTTGAATAAGTTCAAATTCAAATTCAAAATATCTTTATTCATGTAGGTCTATTACAGACTCTTATGATATGTCAAATCTACCGTCAGTTCGGAATGATATCGAGATGAGAAGAACTGACAAGAAACTCAGCTCGTAATTTTTTTCAAATAATAGTGGAACATGTTTATGATAAAATTCAATTTTGGAGAATAGAGTGACCACCAGCATATGCTATCGCAAAGAACAAAAAATTTAATCAGTGTTCACAACCTGAACAGACCAGTCCCCACAAGCAGCACCCGTTCACGAGTATGACGTATGAGCCAGCCATCATTGTACTCAACCATATTTGAGGGAGCACATCGACCCGGCCCAACACGCCGCCACAAGTTTGAACTTTATAGCGAGCATGACTGTTTCAGGTTACTCCACTACGTCAATTATATTATTTACAGCATAGGCTGTACCGATCACAGTTTTCACCCATTACAATATTAAATTTACATTATTTAATTTACAATATGTCATTACAAAATTTATAATAAGTTTCTTTATTGTTATTACATTATCCATGTCAATGGGAAAAATTATATGCCTCATAACAAAAGTTAAAAATTGTAATTAAGTCCACACATTGTAGTCATTTAAGTAGTCGTTTATTTTATAATAAGCTTTAGAGCAAAGTGTTTTTTTTACATGTATCTTAAATTTGGCTTCACTTAAATTTAAAACACTATCTGGCAATTTATTATAAAAACGTATACAATGTCCCATGAAAGATGTACTTACTTTTTTGAGACGATAACTAGGCATATTTAATTTATTTTTATTCCTTGTATTAAAAGCGTGTAAGTGACTATTTTTTGGAAATAAATTTAAGTTTTTGCGTACATACATAATATTTTCATATATATATTGAGAGGGAACAGTAAGAATACCTGTTTCTTTAAAGCGTTCTCTAAGAAATACGCGACACGGTAAATTATATATTGAACGAATTGCTCTTTTTTGTAATATAAAAATTGATTCTACATCAGCCGCTCTTCCCCACAATATAATACCATACGACATTATACTATGGAAGTAACTAAAATACACTAGTTTCGCTGTTGCAGTATCAGTCAACTGTCTAATTTTTCTGATAGCAAAAGCAGCCGAGCTTAGTTTTTTGGCTAGTGTGAATATATGTGGACCCCACTGCAATTTATTATCTATAACAATACCAAGAAACGAAGTCTCATCAACAAAGTCCAAAACATGATGATTCATACTAACAGTTGTCGTTACTTGTTTTACATTTGGTAAAGAGAATTTAACACATTTTGTTTTCATTGAATTAAGCGCTAGATTATTTGATGTAAACCAGTTTAGAACATCCTCAAGAGCAATATTTATATTATTAAAATCCTTTGTATTTCTTTTCACTTTGAAAATAAGTGATGTGTCATCAGCAAACAATACTATGTCAAGTATGTTTTGAAACTGGTATGGTAAGTCATTTATATAAACAAGAAAAAGAAATGGGCCAAGTATAGAACCCTGGGGTACACCCATTTTTATAAATGACCCCTTGGACTTGCTTCCTTTAATGTCTACCACTTGAATTCTATCGCGCAAATATGATCCAATGAGTTCTGAGGATTTTTCTCTAATTCCATAATGCTCTAGTTTGCGTAATAATATCCTATGGTCAACGCAATCAAACGCTTTAGAGAGATCACAGAAGACACCAATGGCATCCTGTGAATCTTCCCAGGCACCGAAAATACTTTGTATTAAGTTAATGCCTGCATCAGTAGTAGACCGTCCACTCATAAATCCAAATTGCTGTTTATGAAATAAATCATGTGTATTAAAATGAGCTAACATTTGTGTAAGTAGTATCTTTTCAAAAATCTTACTAAATACTGGTAAAATTGAGATAGGTCTAAAATTTGATATATTGTCTTTGTCACCAGATTTAAATAGCGGTATTATTTTACTCACTTTCATTAGATCTGGAAAAATACCTTGATCAATGCTCATATTAAATATTTCAGTTAAATGTGAAGCAACTTCACTTATTACAGTTTTCATGACTCTAACTGACATACCCCAGATATCCTCAGTTCCTTTTAGATTGAGAGCGTTGAACGTCTTTATCACACAGGAGCAACTGATATGATGAAAAGTAAAGTCATGAACGCAAGGATTTATGGTATTTTTTAATAATGTTTCAGCTAAACTAGGTGACGAGTTTAAATTTTCCGTAGCTTTGAGAGGTATTGTTGAAAAGAAATTATCAAAAGTTTGAGCAACTAGTTCATTATTATCAATAATAACGCCATTTTCTGCTTTTAACTGATATTCTGACTGGCGCGACTTAATGTTACCTGTTTCAGTATTTATTATATTCCAGGTAGTTTTTATTTTATTTTTAGAAAACTTAATTTTATTCTTTAAATAAAGTGCCTTGGCGGCCTTACATACTTTTTTGAATAACTTTGAATAATTTTTGACATATTCATAGAATATAGGATCACGCAAATATGATCTAATATCATATAATTGATACATATTTTCCCTACTTATATTGATACCTAATGTTGACCATTCAGCGTACTTAGAATTATTGACTTTAAGTTTCTTTACTGTAAAATTTTTATCAAAATGATTTTTTATTATATTGAAAAAACGATTATATGATATATTTGGATCAATATTATCAAGTATCAAAAACGGTAAACTTCCATTTAATCTGTTTTTAAAATTCTGTAATTTAAATGCTGTTGTTGGTCTGTAGAACTTATACATAATCTCGTTTTTTTCATTACATGCGAATGTTACTATTTGTCCACAATGGTCTGACGGCAATCTATTTATAATCGATTTATTTAAAATACTAAAATTACAATATATATTATCAATACATGTTGCCGTAGTGGATGTAATCCTAGTAGGTTCAAAGAAAATATGATCCAGATCAAAACTTTTAAAAAGGTTTCTAATTTTATTACTTATAGGACTATCAACAAGAAGATCTATATTGAAATCCCCACATACCAAAATAAATTTGTTACTTTTGAATGCTAACTTCAGTACATCTTCCATGGTAGACTCAAATTTTTCATAGTCTGAGTTAGGAGGCCTATACACACATATAATTATGTGTTTCTCTAGTTCTACACATGATAATTCTATAATGCATTCATTTGAAAGTGCTACAATATCTTTACGTTCTTTCCCTTTAATGTTATTTTTTAATAAAATAATTGAACCACCTCTAATTGAAATTTGCCGAGTAAATGTACTCAATATTTCATAATTTGGTAACTGAAATACCATGTTGGACTGTTTCAACCAATGTTCTGTGAGGCATACAATGTCAATATTAAATTTACTTATAAATAATTCTATCTCTAATTCTTTGCCAAGAAAGCCTTGAATATTTTGATGTACTAAATTTAGTTGTGATGGCTTTCTCTTTGTCTGTAACTTAAGTTTAAAGATTCTTGCACAGAAACATTAGTAAAACTACTAAAAACTGTGCAGTCAGAATAAGTACCCGTTATACTACTTATAACAGGATTGTGTATATTATAAGCTAACAAAGTAGCTATATGTCTTTTATCAAAATGTGACAAATACAAAGTATTTTTAGTCAATGTAAATTTTTTTACAAATTTATTTGTATCAAAACAATGAATGTTGTCATTATAACAGCTCATGTTATATATATGAGTGTTAAGTTTAAAGATATAATTATTTCTATTCTTTGATAATGATTTTGAGTATGGAAATGTACATATTACAAATTTTTTAATTCTCATATTTGAGACAGATTCAAATAAGTTCATCAAATCATTTTGAGTGATACCTAAACTATTTCCAATGAATAACACAATAGTTGTGTATTCAGTATAACTATTTTGATTTTTTAACATTCTATCAACTATATAATTAAATGGGGCATTCGGCATACAATTGTTTTGGATATGTTCACTCAAACAGTTATTCATGAGCGATCCTAGATTTATTCCTATACTATCTGAATATATTACAGTGTTATTCTTACATGTGTGGTGACTACTAACAACATTGGGTAGTATATTTGTTTGTTCCGGAGTGACAATGGATGTTGATGAAGGTGATGTGTAATTGCCCGACATAGTGTTGCAGTCTGCATGTTGCTGTGACAGTTGTTCTGATGTTCCACTTTCACTTTTTGAGTTAAATTCAAGCAATTCCTTCATCACAACATTATGTTTTGATATTTGAAACTGAGCATGTGAGTACTTGTCACTAATAGCATCCAATGATGATTCCAGTTCTTTTATATGCAATAATAACCGTGTAGTATTTGTATCAAACTGTAATTTATGGGTCCAGAACTGATTTTCATAATATTCTAATTGTTTTTCAAAATTAAATTCTTTTTCTTTTACTAATTTTGATAAGGCAGTTTGATTAAGTTTGAAAGATTTTCTTAATCTTTTAATTTGTCTGCTTATTTTTCTATAGTTCTTACTATTGTAATTAGTTAGAGGGTGCTTTACTCGCTTCTGTTGTACAAAAGGCTTCTGTGTGTCGGAGATGGAGTGGACAGGGTCAGGCTCATCACATACACTTTGTTCGATCAACTCGGCATATAATGTCATAGTCTTTTCTGCTTCTTGGTCTCCCATTTTTGTGGTCAATGTGTTAATTTTATTATATGCTTCTGACAATTCACATTCCAATTCATGGATGCGGTTGAGTGCACAGTCATGAGCATTCCGGCACTGGTCAAAGGAGTCGACAAGAAACTGCAGTTGATCCCGTTCTTTTTGTACATTTTGAAATTTACAGTCTAATTCAGCCAAGTTTTGCTTTAATATAGTATTTTTATGTACTATATTTGATATTTCTACCTCCCCCTCATCCCGTTCCTGAATTAATTTGTCACATAGTTCCTTCTTGTCTTTTAACTCCTGTAAAGCCTTCTTCAATTTCATATCCAAGTCCTTACTGCGAGTGACCATTTTTACTGGAAACATAGTAAAGATAAAACAGATGAGTATTGAAAATATACAATTTAGTAAGGCTGATTAGGGAGTTAATATATAAGATTACTTGACAATTTAATAATTTATAAAACAATTTTGTAGTTGTGTATTATTTTATATTTATGTATTAATTATTAATTAACAAAATATACTAGAAATTGTCAGGGAGTACAGTAAAGACAAAATAAACGAATCGTTAGTACTATTATGTAGGTAGTTAGGAGTGTATTTTGTAAGTCGCAATTATTGTTAAATATTTCTAATATTACTTTAGGAATAAAATGAGTAAAAAATGGTAAATCTAGATACTTATTTTTCTATAAATAAAACAACATTCAAAGAATTTGTATATAACAAACGATCTATAGCATGTGATGAATTGATGACAATCTAATTATTTAGATTAGCAAGAAAGTATTTATATTAAGAGGTAGTTTATTGATTAAATAGATTACTCAATCAAAGGTAAACATATAAATAAAAACAATACTTCCCCGGTTTATCCAAAGTTTATCCAAAGTTTTTCGAATTTTGCTGCCGTTGACCCCGTTTGACAAGATGTCGATCGGGCAAGAATTTCACAAATTAAATCTTGATGAAGTCTTTAACAAACACTAATACTAATTAATTATCACTTATTATATTAAAATTTATTAAAATACACGATTATTTATTAGTAAAATTAAATTAAAATATAAATAATGTATGAGCTGTTTGTTTTGACAGCCGGCCGCGGTGTTGCCCATAATTAATAAGTGTTTATAAATCAATAATGTAATTATTTATGTTTATTTCTTTTTCACTACATTGTTTTTGGTACAGTATTTTGTTTTGTGTTTAGAGCAACTACTTTTCCTTAAATATGAATTAACATTTTATAAAATATAATGTTTTATTCACTTACCAATAGGACCAATATGGTATAATAACTGTACCTATATCCTTTCTTACCTACTAAGTTACATTTCATTATTAAGAAATTGTTTTGTGAAATAATTTACAGTAGATTTTTTTTTATGTGTATAATAATGCACATTATACAAAAAGTAAAAATAGCAGCAGACTTAACAGTCAATGGTATTTTTTATCAGTTAATCATGTTGAGAGAAAAATTATTTAATCTGTTATTATAGCCTATGGAAATGGAATGATAATGGAATGTTGCTCCCATTATCATCCATAAGAAAATGCTTCCATGCCTTCGCTAATGGTTTACTCTGGCTGGGTACTAGTGGAGGACGTTAAGATGAACATTTGGTCAGATCAGTTAGCCCATCATGGGAAATTCACCATGAATTTAACACAATACAACAGTCCACATTATTAACATTCCCCTTTGCCCCAATAAAGCATATTTCATCCAAGTAGCTGGCGGTAATGCAGGCGGGAGTACCACTATATATCATTTATGGAGCACCATTATGTATATATTATATATCATTATCATTCATTAAAAAAAATATTTACCAATAAAGACAAGACAAGACAAGACTTTTTTACAAAGCCTACTTTAGTCTTTGTTTCTGCACATTCGATTTTGTTTCATTATATCTCTTGATGGTAAGAATAGTGATGAAAAACATACACAAGAGCCTGAAAGGTTTATTGCAAATAAATAAAGTATTATATTTATGTACTTATTTTAATGCAAGTAACTAAATTATCTGATAATCTTAGGATGTGATAAATTTTGTAAAGAAATTTAGACAATCACAACTGATTGTAATTGATATAATCAGTTAGTATAAAGATAATACTAATACTAGTTGTGCTCTGTGGATTCAGACGCCGTTTATTATAGGTATAATAATAGACAGTTACCCTCGTCCCCCGACCCTCCGCGTTGCATCGCATCACTGCAGCGCTATTAACGTTTATTCAAATTTATATCTTATTACGTATCTCCTAGTGGTTGTTATATGATTTTAATAGACTGATTCTTCCTCTAGAATTGTTTTTATTAATGAATGATAATGGAATGTTATTCCCGCCTGCGCTAACGGTTTACGATGGCGGGTCACCAGTGGAGGATAAGATGAGCATGAGGTCAAGTCAGTTAGCCTATCCTGTTAAATTCACCAGTTTTTCAGGGGCTACTGCGTGGAGGTCAACCTGAATACTAATGATTCGATAGCTGGCAATGTACCATTCATTGCTAGCAATGGGATCATTAGTCCACTTTATTAACAATCCCCTTCCTCCCTCTAGAATTGGGGTATTCAATGCAAAATTTGAGAGCAGTGAGTAATTTTTTTGTTTTCGTTAACGCAAATATTTTTACAGCGTGGTTTTGAGAGAGATTTGGTATGAATGTGGATGGTTATAAAGGCAGAGGAAGACCGAAAAAGAGATGGATGGACTGTGTGAAAGATGATATGGTAAGAAAGGGATTAAATAACGAAATGACTGCGAACAGGGATGAATGGAAGAGAAAAACATATTACGCCGACCCAAATAAATGGGATTAGGAAGAAGCAGATTTGAGACTCGAATTTTATTAATAACAATGTTTTATCGTAACATTTTTGTTGTTCTAATCTAATTTATGAAAATCTCATTTTATTTTCAAAGCAGTACTAAGTTACGAAATAAATACCGTAGTACCTATTGTCTATTGAGTAGTTTTATCCTAAACTGCGATTGCAAATGATAAGTAATGATACGGCATTGCGTCACTCTAGCCAGCGAGGCCTGAAATAAAGCCTACATTCTATAGAATGTATATTCAATAGTTGCGTTTATTTTGTACTAGCGATTCGTTTTGACTTCGATCGATTTAAATATTTTTTTATGTTCATCTTACTAGCTTTTGCCTGTAACTGGATATCCATACGAATATTATAAATTTGAAAGGATATCTGTCTGTTTAACTGTCTCTTTCAACGCATGAATGGTATCACGGCTGTTATATGTTAACGCGATATCCGTAGTTTTGTTCATATATATAGGCGACGGTTACCGCTTACCATCAGGCTAGCCAGTTGGTTTGTTTTCCATTCCAATTACATAAAAAAAGAAAAACTTCAAACAAACTTTTTACCTCATACGAAATGTGAAGATGTATTGATTAGGCATTAGAGTTCGCTGCCCCATTTCTAGTTTCTTACGTGTTTATGTACACATGCCACACTGTTATTAATGTTTTTTAAATGTAACATGCATAATTAAGTCCTAACTGCCGCCTAGTTACAGGAAATTGTATAGGTTTTATAATTTACTAGCCTTTACATTGCTCGCTTTGAATAAAAAATATTTGTTTATTTTTAAATAAAAAGTATATCCTATGTTCATTATAATACGTACAAGAACATGTGTACAAAATTTCATGTTGATCGGGTATAATATTACTAAGGATTAAGGACTAGCTGTGCCCGAGATTTCTCCCGCGGTTATTTATTCATTATTCTGATGAACTATGATAAACTATGTATATTATTGTACATTTTCATTAATATCCATTCAGTAGTTTTTGCGCGAAAGAGCAACGAACATCCATCACAAACTTCCAAGTTTAGTAGTCCATAGTATAATATTAGTAAGTTGATAGTATTTAACGAAAAAGGTTTTGGATTATAAACTTAGCGTAAAATATTAGTAAAACTGGTAAATTTTTCTAAAAGTTTGTTCGGAATATGATAATTTCCCTTGTAATTTGTCACAAAAGAATATTTATTTATTTATTTTTACAGAATATAGGTGTATTTTTAAACTAATGTGTGGTTAATATACATTATTTATATTATTAACCGGGTCTTAACTCGTATAATTTTATGGCAAATAAAGGTATTTACGTATCTCGACGATTCCGACTAGGTTGCACTAGCCGTGGCCACGAGCTGACTGAAGTAATTTAAAAACGCAATGAAAAATTAATAGGTAGACAATAATTTAAGCGAAATTCTTAAATGTACAAGATTCATAAAAAAAAAAAATATTATTACAAATAAATTTATATCTATTGAAAATGTTTTACGTGTGATATGTGTTTTTATTTATACTTAATTTAATAATTTTTGTTTTAGACACAAAATGTGATAGAAGAACACACGACAAGCAACAAAGGAGAGCAAGTGAACTTCACTGAAAGCGACATTCTCTGTGAGAATGGTACAAAAGCAGAAGATAAGAAAGAAAGTAGTAATGATACACCGGACAGTGTGTTGGGAGAAAGCATACCACCAGATCTAGAAAGATATATTAGGGTATGTTTATTTTATCCTTTCGGTTTTAATTAATTTTTATTCCCATTTTATATTTTAGATCATGAAAGAAAAAAAGAAAATATCTTTATTGTCAGCCATTACATTCATATAAACAATACAGTAAATACACCAAAATAACATTTTTTATAATTTTTGTCTGTCTGTCTCTCTGTTCCGGCTAATCTCTGAAATGGCTGGACCGATTTTGACGCCACTTTTTTTTACAGTTAGCTGATGTAATAATGCGTAACTTAGGCTACTTTTATTTTAGAAAAATATAGTTAAATTCCCGGCGGAAGATGTCGCGTCTACAGCTAGTTATATACAAATTGCTACGTGTTGTCCCTGTATTTGCCAGATTGAGCTTCATGCTCAGATCAGTTAGCACATTGTGCGGAATCCACTACAAATTAACCACAATCAACCAGAGACTGCACGAAGGTACTGTAACCATTGCAAGCAATGGAGCAGCCTAGTCTCCATTACTGACAGTTGCTTGTCACCTACCGTCAGTTTGTTACAAGGTCCATTACTAGCAATGGACCAATATGAAGACTGACAATTCACTCTCCCTCCGTCAGCTTATTAACCATTCTAGTTACTTAAAAAAGCTCTAGCTTTATTATGTTTGTGTGTATATATTTATTGTCTTTATCGTATGCAGCTTTGATAACGCTAAAAGCTTTTTATCTAATCTAATCGATTCGACCTTCTATTTAGAGTTCTATGCAAACTAATACAATGAGTTTATCTGTGCAATGCCAAATCAACTAACGAACAATAAAACTGGGTACATCATCACGCCTACGGACTTGGAGATGCAAACCAGGGTTGTCATACTTAAAATGCTAAGTTTCGTGCGAATAAGTAAAAAATCTTTATAAAATATAATAATGAAATAAATAAAAAATAGTCTCCTATATTAGCTCAATTTGGCTCTCATATATCAGGGGGAAGGGGATTGTCAGTAATGTGGCTCAGGTTGAGCTCCACGTGGTTCCCTCTGGAAACCATTATGGTAAATTTCTGTTGAATTTGTCACGATGGGCTAACTGATCTAATTTCATGCCACTGGTGCCAGCGTAAACTGTTTACGATGATGGTAGTACCATTCCATTATCATCTATAAAAAACACATACGTCATAGTATTGTGATCGATTTTCGTAGATGAAAATCTCGTACAAACTGATAGGGGTGTGAGAATATCCTCTTTCAAAAAGACCAAAACTTACTGATTTCTACGAGCATCCTCATACGGTTGTCATCCCTGATGCAAACTGTGGTTGCGAATTAAAGACCGTAATATAGTATTATTGTCTTGTGATCGCGTGTTGTAGGAATCGCGACTCTAACGACTTCGATAAAAGTTGGTTAATTCTTGGCGATGATATATCGGTCTAGATAAGTTTTATGTTGAAAATAATTCGTGATTTGAGCGTCATTTATCGTGTGGAAAGAAATATGACAATAAAAGCGTTTCATATTTTTTCATGTTGCTTTAGGTTCTTCCAATGTTTACTTTTTAGAATGTATAGTACTTAACCAGAGGTATACTATAAAACGTCGTTTGCATTTGTGCCTCAGTTTCACATATTTCAGCCAGCTATGTGATTAAAAATCACTATTTATCCGTTATGCAGTACTAACAGTTAGACATAGACACATGGATTTTGAAAAAAGAAATTTAGTTGATTTTTTTAGAAATAGAAATAGAAATAATCTTTATTCAAATAAACTTAATATAAGCACTTTTGAATAGTCAAGTTTTTTTATTCTACCGCTCATTCGGAATGTAGACTCATCACAAGAAGAATAAGCAAGAAACTTGTGTGTTGCTCTTTTAAAATAAATATTGATTTACTTATATTTAATTAACAACAAGGATTAGGCATGCGACAATCAACATAGAAACCGCTACGCACTTAATCTCTGTTCAATCAGATAACATTGTCAGCGCTATGAATTTAATTTAGATATTTTCTACAAAAGCATTATTATCTATTAAAAAAACTTCAATTTTATAATAAGCTTTTTTACAAAGAAAATATTTTATTTTATAACACATTTGAATTTTCTTTTCTGGCAACATTGCCAGTTCGTTAAATTAAGCCTGTATACTAAACTGGACGGTTGGGAACAAATTTTTAGACGTTTTATTATTTAGATGTTTATAAGCGTAAAATGTCCTACACGAATAAATGATTTTTAATTTGGTTTAACAAATAATCAAATGTTACTTTTATTTAGTTAAGTTTTAATTAATGGGCAAGCAACGCCGCTCCCGGTAATTGCCATGCATGTCTAATTCTACTTCCGGAAAAGTAACATCCGACTATAGTAGAAAGTGCATTTAGCAAGTCAAATAGCAGGACATTGCTAGGTCGTAATACTAATCTATGATGTTGTTTGGGATTGCTAGTAGGAGTGCACTGTGTGAAATTGATCTCTACGTGATCCCTCGACACCATCGTGTTATTCGAAGTGGTCAGGATGGGCTAATTGAACTGACTATGCTTGTCCTATCATCCTTGTTCCTATCCAGCGTAAATTGATACCTCCAACTTTCCGTATTTAATAAATGTGGTCTTGTTTTTTTTAAACGGCAAGTGTAAAATATGATTTGTAAAATACTACTTTTTGGAATAATAAAATCAAGTCTAGACAATGTGTTTGTGTTGTAGAAAAAGAAACGATTTACACAATCTCGACGTGGTCTAAAATATTAAATAATTTCAAGAATTAGACATAGAATGTCGAAATGAAGTTTTATGTAGTTATTTTGAAGTTATGTAATGATTTCTACTCTTTCGTTTCTCTATTTTTTATTACCTTCATCGTGGTGGAAAGGTCAAGGATTCATTTTTACTGCTTGTGTATCAGAAATAGGCTTTAAGTGATTTATTTATGCGTTAGCGGCTACTTTTTTTTTTAAAAGAAACTAGTTGGTAAGTTTTTTTTTATAACTGTATTTGTAAACAAACTGTCAGCTCACGATGGTAAGTGGTCACCTATATACATGAACAGCAATACTGACATCATATGCTGAGACACCCGCGAAACTCAATCGTTGAGGTTTCCTGAGGAGTAAGCTGTCATGCCTCTTATACTGTGATTTCACTGCCTTATGATCCTACAACCAAAACACATTTTACAAAACAAGCTGCTTGACGGTTGAAATAGGTGAGACTGAGGTACCCACGCAGACGAGTTTTTGTTGTTGTTAGCTTTGTCTTACCTTACTTTTTGCTTAGTCTGCCTCGGTATATTTTTTATTAGCATTACTTATATAAACTACATAATAGTGGCATCAATTGTTCGCCTACATACATTGCGACAGGGTCCAGTATTATTATTTATGCGGTTACTTACAAAAACTCATAAACTATTCCAATACTATATATAACAAAGAACAATGAGTACAGTTGGAGAAACAATACCATCTAATAATAAAATTAATGGCTTATTGAAATTCTATTATAAATACTGTTATATTTGCAGTGGAAATGTTAAAAAAATCATTATTTACAAAATTGCACTCATTTTAATATTAAAATTATTTATAATAAGTATTGTATTATTTAATTACCAGCTGTAACGCGGGAAAGAAAGAAGGTATAAATTTTACTTTATAGCGAATACCACAATTGTTATTATTTATTTATTGATTTTATATTCTCGTAATTCTTCGGTATTATAAGTTAAAGTTACGGGTAATACGGACCACGTAATTCTAATATGTTTAATTAATTGTTATTTTATCTTCCTGTAAAAAATTACGCACAATACGACAGGTACGACACGATGCTGCTTTGTGCAATGTGATATATGTATTATTATTATTATTATAGAAGTAGTTTTTTTTTCGGACTATAAAAAAAATGAGAGTAAACTGCTTTTTGCAGCTTTTCGAAGGAGCGAAAAATGTATCAATCTAGGTGGCCGCAGCTAGCCTTTACAGCTTCACCGGAGTAGATATAGAAATACGAAATCTAAGTACCAGTAACTCATAAGCATACGAGAGATTTTTTCTCCTCCAAAGATTTTTAATTACAGAGTAGGTAATTTCAAGTACTTAGTATACCTCATTAAATCACTAGCGTGATACGATTTAATTACATAATTTTAGCCCATTTACTATTATTATATTTTTTACATTACTCACACTTTCCACCTCGGCTGTACCAGGCTCACATAACATTGTAGGTGTTTCGCGAATTAAAGAGTAGAGCAGACACGCTCGAACGGACCACTGAAACAGTCGCATGTTTTATGAAAAAAATATGGCGTCTGACGTGTAATAAAAGTGATTTTATTATTTTGCTGTTAATTGAAATGTTTGAAAAATGTAATCAGAATGATGTGAGTACTTTTCTATTGTTTCTATGTGCTCTTATTCCATTCATGGCAAGAATTCTTCATATAAATCTGTGATTCTGGATTAATTAGTTTTTAGTTGGCGTATTTTTGTTTTTTCTTAATACCGTATCAAGAAACTCGGGTATTGGATATTATTTGCGTTTTACAATCGTATCTATAGGATTGTATTGTTTTATCTAATTGGAATAGCAAATAAGCTGACGGTCTACCTTATAGTAAGTGGTAACCGTCGTCTATAGACGAACAGAACTGTAAATATCTAGTTATCATGTGACGCCCGTGATACCACTTATAGGTTGCCATTCTGGAGGACTAGGATGTTATGTCTCTTATCCTTTAATTTGACTGCTTAATCCCTACAACCAATCATACGCAGCTTACAAATCATGTTCCTTGCCGGCTGAAATACATGAGTGAGACCGATGTACCCACGCAGAGGTCTTTATACAAAATGAATCTCGGTATGTTACTCCCATATTTCACCTCGGTTGTATCAGGCTCACATAACATTGTAGGTGTTTCGCGAATTAAACAAGACGCTCGAACGGACCACTCAAACAGTCGCATGTTTTGTGAAAAAAAAATATGACGAGTGACGTGTAATAAGTCATTTTATATATTT